GTATTCTCAATATTCTATATCTCGATCTTGTAATTTTCCTTTCAATAACACTCACTATGCATACTCAAGTATTTTCCTTAGCAACGTGCCAAACAGACCGTAAACAGGTAAACAACCCTTTCGCACTCGTGGTTACATGACAAAACAATGAATAAATTTTCTGCCTAATTTATTTTTGAAACGATATTTCGATGGAAAGAAAGCTTTAGTATTGGCACATCTGATAGCAAATCGGTAGGAACAGAAATGTTTTTGGCAGTAACGTGAACTCACTACTTAAATGTAACCAAAACAAAAAAATAAATTCGGTTGGGTAGCTGTTAGTCGTCAGTTGCCGTCTACAAATCGGATTAAATCTTTCTAGTGGAAAATGCTAGACTTTTCAAGAGTTATTTCGCATTTAAGTCAATCTACTACAAGATTACGAGCGTCAGTTATAATTAGCAAACACTTGAGAAAATCTCAGAACAGCTCACAATTTATTGACTCATTATTTTCTATTTTAACATTTACATCATGTTTGCCGATTATCGCGGTTTTTAGAAATAAATATTTGAATAAATAATATATATTTTTGTTCTGTACTATCGCTATATACATTTTCCCATAATATTCACTCCAAGAGTAGTCTCTTGATTTCACGTAGTGTTTATTCTCTTCTCCAATACGTGGTTATGAAGGTTCGTGGTTATTCCTTAATTTTCTGTTTGTCTTTCAAAGAGTAAAATTTAAATTCTTCTACAATGATTAATTATTAGGAAATGCCTTCCTTAGAAAAATTAGATTTCTTGTAACAGGCAAAACTTGCCAAGCCGTCGAGGAAGTTCGCAATTCCCTTCCTGCCAAGTTAAAATTTGTGTACACAGTTCTGCTCAATCGTTCTCGATCTTTAGCAGTCAACCGTAGCCATTTGAAATTGTCAGACATGGATTTTCCTATCCATTGATTGAAGTTGAGACAACATCAGTCTTTTTCGACATTCGCTTACTCCGCGGCACTTTCCTTGGACGTCGAACTGGACGAGGTGACGATTCTTCGACAGCGTTGCTTGGTTTGCTCACGCCAACAGTCATCAACATCAGATCTGAATCGAGGAGGTCTAGCTGTGTGTGAAATTTTCTTCGTTTTATGGCGAACACATCACATTGATCCGGTTCGGCCTTCATCCTTTTAAAGTGATTACTGTGACAGCTCACATTGAGGATATCACCGCTTTCACTCTCATCTTCTGACGAAGAAGAATCGACGCTTGCAAGGAATAAATAATCAACATCCTCTTCGCTGCGCTCTTTCATCGCTGACTCGTCGTTCATGGGAAACATTTCTAATCAACAGCGTTAAATTGATCAATCTCTCCTCTGTCTGAGCTTTTGGGCTCGAAGGTTATTCAACAGATTCTTACGAACGACGTATTGTCATGACATGATCTGCTTTGTTTCTTCGTGTCGTGAGAACTATAATGGAACGACAGCATTAGGTTTTACGCATACGGGAAACACATGTAAATATGTTGGCACGTTGCCATAGCAATTGATTAATTCAATTTTAACTATAAGGTTACCTCAAGATATTTGGAAATTTTGTGCGAAGAAACACCTCCGTCTAGCCTTTAAGCTTTAATGCAGCCTTCTTTGAAAATGTTCTACGCTAGGACTGAATATATTTTTGATAGCGTGATCAAGTCATTTTCGTGCGAAACAACGACTTTCTCGTTGTTTCGCAAAACGTGTTTGTCATAATTTGAATGACTGGATTCTAAAAATATGGATCTTCTGATATCGATGAGATATTTGCCACAGCTGAATTGTATTTGTATCAAACTGATAAACGTATGTAAAACATGTCATGCACGGCATTTTAAGCGGAATCAAAAGATAGACGCTGAAAATTCGTGAAAAACTAAAGACTTCGACGCGCATGAGACAGCTAGGAACGCACACAGTGCGAATTTTCGAGAAATACCTTTCCTACTCAGCGAGAACTTTTAGAAGGTTATTCAAAAAAAAAAAAAATTAGAGCATAGAATTATATAACAAAACTTCATCGTGGTGTAACAGAAAGCTTGAAAGCGACAACTTTGTTCTTTATTTTTAATTTTTTTAAGCCTAATCAAGCTGTGAAAAATAAAAAAAGTTACCCTCTCCGATATATGCATTTCTTTGATGGCAGAGTTATACATCGTTCTGAGAAGTTTGCAGCTTGCATTGCTCTTAAACTCCTATTTTTGGCAAGGCTAAGTTTTTTTCGTGGTATATCATCAGAGTTTCCAGTCGAAAATAGAGTGATCCGGTCGTCATAAGTCAGCTTGAGAAAGCCTTATCAGTCATATTTTGGTTTACTTTTGTGTCATAGCTGTCAGGAAGTGAACGGAATAATGCATTGAAAGCAAAAGAAAATTCATGTATCCACTGATTTATATGACTCTATTGAGACCCATAAAAAATAGACCCCTCAAAAAAGCAATGTGTCAAAAAACATCCAGGAAGTGACGGAGGCGGTAACTAATTTTCGTTACCCAACTTTGGTCGTTTTTATGCCTACACTTCTATTTATATCCAAGAAATATTAAAAATACGATTTTTTTTGCTTCCCCGAAGTGATTCCAGTCAACGATGGAAATTTATTTTGAATTGATTTAGAGTGAATGAACTTAATTTAAAAAAGAAAGGACTAGATTTCTGTCGGGCAGTTTTTTTAGTTTAAATAAAAAAATGTTGATTTATTTTTTTTTTGTTTATTAAAAGTTCTAGAAAGAATTTTCATGCCATCATCGAAAGCTTTAGAACCAGAGTATAAACAGTCATGTATACTGTGTTCGTTCCGTTTAGGGTATTCCTGAAGAAGAGAAATCTGTTGATTCTGACTAAGACAGATCTTTCAGCAACTTGCAGCTGAGCGGAAGTCATCATAAAATTCAGTTGCGTTAATCCTAAGTCTTCCCACATTAAATATCATAGTAACGCCGTTGAGAATTTAAATCAAATCTGTTATTCTGTCAAATTGTTGACCCGCTTTCTATTTTCGGTCTGTTTCCGGCTTGTTTCAAGCGTGTTAATATTTGCCCGAAACGTTTGGGCCGAAAGTAGTGTCAAAGTTATAATTGTGAAATTATTTTGGCAATGGACTTGACCTCTAAGTTCAAAATTTCTTCCTGTTGTTTTCTTTTTGTGTGCAATGAGTTTCTTTCAAAACAACTGCTATTTCGGGTTTAGCAAAACTATCGCTGAATTTGATCACCTGTGCTTAAAAACTATAGCTCCAGCGACAGATGATAGTAACCTCCAATGGTTAGAAACACAAACAAGCGAGAATAAAAGTAGCAAGCTTAATATTTGGTAATTTTGTGGACACATTAGAAACAGAGTGGAGGCGCGGTGGCCTCGTGGTTAGTGCGCTCGACTCCCGATCGAGTGGTCCGGGTTCGAGCCCTGGCCGGGGTCATTGTGTTATGTTCTTAGGCAAGACACTTTACTCTAACGTTGCTTCTCTTCACCCAGATGTACAAATGGGTACCATCAAGTATATGGGGTAACCCTGCGATGGATTAGCATCCCATCCATGGGGGAGTGGCAATACTCTTAGCCGCTTCCTGCTAAGGAAACCGGAGTGAAGCGCCGGCCCCACGGGCCACTTGGTCCTGTATAAAAGCTTTACTTTTTTTTTTACTTTAATAACAGAAAAGCAGTGGTATACTCCTCCTTCTCTGCGTGGTTTGTTCAGCTATTTCCTTCTATCCTCCCTGCAAATGGTGACTTGGAATTAGATCGAACTTTTTGTTAGGGTTTTTGCCACTCCACCTGTTCAACTCCTGACCCTATGCGCAAGAAGTTTTGGATAGTTTCGACCCTTTCACTCCCACAGGTGATTAACATGTAACTTCTCCCTATAATATCCATACATTATCCACCGAACAGGTTTTGAGATGACTCAAACTTATCAGGTATAGAACTTATTACATTGATTTAACACCAAATTCTCGTTACGGATTCCGAAAGAAATGTGTAGCGGCTTATGGGGAGAATTACCAATCAGATCTTGGGAGTTAATGTTGAAATGTGCTCCCATTCTTCTCGATCTTTAACTAAAGAACATAAATACAATGCTCAAAGTTACTCTGAATCGGTAATATCTGGGTCCAAGAGAAAAAAAAGAAGAAAAAAGCAAATCATTCAGGCTACAGGAGGTCTCAGAAATGATCATAGCCATCGCTATCGAGCTGTCTGCGCCAAAATTGGTAGACTTTCCGACCGCGCGCGCGAAGTGGGAACTACCAAAAGCAAAATGCCGCAAGGGGAACTTAAAGCCTTCCCCTGTCCCACGTTCGCGCCAGATTTCGACATTGTCTCGTGGGAGGAAAGTATATCATAATACAGCTGTTATGACTTTACTGAACAAAACAATCAGAACTCTGTAAGTGTCTCTTAATCTGGGTGGCTATCTCACTAAAACAGTCGTAAAATCCCGCCCGTGGGTAAATTTATACGATTGAAGTGCCCGGATGCTAAGAGAAGAGATACATACATATAGATATGTAAGATACAATTTATTTTCTTTCCGTAGAATTTCCAGAGTCCTTTGACAGATAAAAAATGTAAAGCACATATGCATTGAAGCTGTTCTACGTTTAAATGTACAAAAGCTTGACAAGAAGTCAGATAGTTTGGTTTGTATCCAAGTTAGCTTCGAAGCTTAAGTTTCCATTAAGGTGGAATGCTTGTTCAAGGAGAGTGTCACCTAGAGACGCGTACGACAGAATTAACACAGCCCACTTTTTTCTGTCGCGTAGTTTTAAAAAAGTTAAGAACGGTAGAGGCATTTTGAATGCAGTCTAAACCAATTAAACAAAATTCTCTTAGCCTCGCCAAAACTCAACGAGAAAAGCAACAGATAAAACCGTTTCGCTGTAGCTATTTTATTTTAATGAAATACAAACTATTGTTATATGCGACAGTTCGTTATCTTTTGAAATTTATGTTTGTCGATTTTTATTTAAGCTTGGACTACGAATTTATTTTTACAAGCTTTTTCAGTAGTTCTTCATTCCTACGTTTTTCCGTGTCTTTTTGCTTACTAAGTAGTTCATCTTGCCTCTGTAGTTCTTTTATGTATTGTGCTGCGGTTCTGAGTACGAGTATTTTCGAAGCTTTCTGTCTGTTCTCTAGCTCGGGTATAAATCTCCTCAATTTTTCATATTTGGAATTCATTTCGCTTCGACGTTTTCGTTCGAGTCCATTCCTAAAACCAATCCCTAAGAAACAGTCTACATTGCCTTTATTGCTTCTCACTTTTTTCTTTCCGTCTTTAGTCTGATTCAAATTAGGCGTCTTTTGGAAGTCATCTTTAACTATCTCAGTACCTCCAAAGTACTCGGCATCGTTAAAATCAAGGAATACCTCTCGCGTGTTTAAATAAAACCCATTTTCCTCCTCCCCATAAACCTTTATGTCTTCAACGTCGATCTCCTTCTCGTCAGAAATTTCCTTCTCATTACAGTTGCGCTTTGTTTCCTTAGCTTCATCCTGATCTTGTTCAACGGAAGGAAACTGGAACACTGTACTGGTAATCGATCGCTCAAGACGCTCTAAAGTCGTTGCTGGAGTGAAATTCTCCGGTAAGTATACGGAGAGATCTTCGGAAGGCTTTCGGCCGAACGGGCTTAACACCATCATGGCTAACGGACTTCTGGGCGCCGAACAAAAACCTGGACTCTTCAGAAGCGGCGAAAATGGAAATGTGGGAGTGCTTAAGGGTTCTAAAGATGTACACGTAGTCGTTATTGGTGATTTATGCAATCCTGGACTACATGGGAAATGAGCGCTAAGTTTATTTTCGTCTTGATAAAAAGGCAGCAGTCTTGAGCCGGAGCAGTCTCCGGTTTCGTGCGTCAATTGACAGGGATTCGAAGAATAATCGTCAAAAACATTGTTGTTTTCGGGAACCACTTGTAAATTCTCTTCCTCTTGTCTCTTAGATAACGATCGTAAGACCTTCTCTTGCAATTGTGTCAGTGTATTTGGGCTGCAGCCCATATACATATCATTGGAGGGCCAGAAAAACTGCATGCCGCTCATTTGATTAGGAAATATCGCACACTCGTTAGCCATCAGTGTAAAAACGCTTGAAAACCCAATTTCCTGTGAAAAAAAATTTCGTAGGCAAAAGTTCAAGATGAATTTTTCTGGTTCTGAACTCACTTATCCGCTACAACGCCCAACCTCTTTACATTAGTCTAGATTTCGATCTATATTTATGAAGATTGGATGAGGAATATGTTTACGTTGTGACTCGCATGAAACAATCGTGTTACCTGCTCTCTCCCACAAGCCCTTACGTCACGGCCCTTTTTAATCGGTTGTTTACCAATAAATTCAATTCAATTTTTTTTTTACACTACGCAGAAATTAATTAAAATTTTCAGTTGGGACACAAATTTTCAAATCAATTTCGCTCCATTCAGATTTTCTTTGATGGTTCTGCGTCGATACTTCTGTAAGTACAATTTTCTCGGCGACATTTTGATTCTAGGAGAATTTCTTATTATTCTGGTCTATGACTTAATTGTGTGCCAGGGAGCACCTGTTTAAACCAGAATATTCTCAAATTCTGTTACCATAGACACCCTCTAACATTGGGAGGCATCTCTTCCGTTGAACGAAGTTCGATCGAAGAATTCTCTAGCCATGTGAATTTTCAAATGATGTATTCATCATCTTTTAAATTTTATCAAAACAACCTCCTTTTTTTGCTAAATGGCTTCAGAAAGTATTAAATTGTCCTTCGAAGCGAAGAGTCTCGAAGATTTAATAATTGATTACTTTCACAGAACGCAAAACCGAAAATAATCATTATGATGCATGGAATAACCAGGAATAATTCATAAGTCTTAAAGAGCGCAATGCACAAGAACAATAATTTCATACGATGCTAGCTTAATAACTACAGATTAGGCGCCTTGTATTTCGAAAAAAAAATTGTTTTTAATTGCAAACTGAATGAAGGTTCAACATTTCAACGACGTGTTTTAAGGAGAGCTCCCGCCAAATTATCTTGGAAAATAGGACATCACATATCCTGCTTTATTATTCATAGCGCTCTTTAAAGTTATGTTTTTTTTGTCTAATAATTACGCCCTAATCTAAGAGTACCTCTTAAGTAAAATACCCTCAAAACAAACTCCACAAGTAAAGGAAGTAAAATGATATTTAAAGACCCCTCTATAAATAAGGTCGTTTGTTTGTCCTGTTCCATCGGACTGGAAGGTTTACAATCAGCGTTGTGGAGGAGAAGGCCGAGAAGCAAAATGATAATGGTGATGTGTTTCAAGGCACACTCACGGCGTAGTACTGTCTGTGACCGCATGTGGCACCGTTATTAAACCCAGCTGCAGCTAAGAGATCAATGAGCAGAAAGAGAAAAGGGAAAGCGACTTTTGAACACTCTTTAGTTATAAGCACAAGAGGCCATAATTTGAATGCTCGTAATTTAATAGAATTTTAATCGATACAATAGCTTCCTACTTTGAAAAGGATTATGGCAGCAGTTAAAGTAGTTCATTGTTATTCCATTGCTGAAGGCCCATTTGACTGAGATTTTACTGTTATAATTATTCTCACTTCTCTACTCTTCATTCAAATGCGTTTATAGTTTCAAAGAACCACTGATTCATAATCTGACCTCCATCTCCGTGAAAATTCGGCAGAATTACAAGACTTAATGTTTCAGTTCTCTTTCAGTAGAAATGGTCATTTGAAGACATGGTTCGTGAAGGCCAGCTGGGACGAAAGAGTTGTTCATGCTTATTGCTACTTCATGCAGAGTTCTAAGATCTCCAAGTCAGAATATAAGCCAATCCAATCTACGAATTCTTCATGAACTTATTTCCCTCGTTTTATTTCGCCACTGATATCAATATAGCACATGTTTCCTTCATCTTGATCTACATTGCTATGGCACCCGGCCTTATCTATTATGGGGCGGTTTTCAGCATTTACATTCTGGCATGGACTCTTGAATGGTTCGTTATGGTAATATACCACTGTGCGTACGTGTAATGGCCTGACGTAACGGCCACCGAGTCTCCTTCTTTTTAAGATAAGGACAATAATCGCCACAATAAGACTTGTAGAGGAGATAGAAATGACGCTCCATTCAAACACATCTGCAAAGGAAAAAAATGTCAAGTTTCCTCACTGTACTCTCGAGCTATTATCGTGAAAAATAAATAGATAAATAAACAAACAAAAAACTCGCGTGCTTCTCAACCAATCATATACAAACTAACACTGATCACACCTTGGTCGCGTTTTCTACAGTGGATTCTAAGCATTTGACTGCTCTTCCATTTCAAGACTTTTAATGGATGATCTGAACATTATCGGGCCATTATTAGGCCATGATTGGGAAATTATGGGCCCGCAATGTACCCCGTGTGAAGGTTTTAAATGAAGTTTCTATTTTCGCATGATCTAATGTGACCCACCTTTTATATCCTTGTTGTCTTCATTCCCAGCATGCACACTTAGTTCCCAACCTCCCCCGCATGCTACCTCATCACATTGACATTTGCGAGACCCTTTAACGTCACGCCAACAAGCCTTCGACCTCACGCATTCTTCAGCAGAGCAATGCGTGACAAGATCTGAATCGAGTGTCTCAAAATCCACCTCGAGTGTTTTATTGTCCGATGCCCCTGTCGAAGCTTCGGGTTGAGATGACCAAGGCAAAGTTTTTGTGTGGTGAGATGGACGTTTCTTTTTTCTCTTCGATTGATTGTCGAAATTAACTCTCTTCCGTTTGTATCCATTTTCCTTGACTTTCTTAGGTGGTATAAACTTTGTTCTTTTATGAAAGCTTCCGGGAGGAGTGGGTGGGGCTGTGGTGAGAGTAGTGGGATGGGTGAGTGACAACGTGCTGTCGACAGCGATTTTTGTGGTTCTGTTACTTTGCTTCGTTTCTTTCACATATGAGATGAAGAACAAGGAAATTATGATGATCAGTCAGTTCATAGGAAAAGGCTTACAACTGTTGTTTCAGAAGGGACGAACAAATTGGAAAACGAACTATAAAAAAAACAGTAAGGTTTCCAATGAACGAGCTCTTAGAGAGAGTGATTGGAAGGAAAATATATTCGAACTAACAGCTAGGAAACGAACCACATTGCTGCTAAGACAACGGATAATGGAATAATTTGCAGAAGTGTGAAAAATGTAACTTCTCTCAAAATATCAATACACCATCCAGCCCGTAGGTGACGAGAAAAAAAGGAACTTGCAAGTAAGACACCGCAAATGTCACACAACACCTAATTTTCTCAAGGAATTTTATAGTAGTTCAGAAGGAAAATTCCACTTCCTCACTTAGATCTTTTAAGTTTTCAATTATTAACTTTTTAACTCCCATGAGTGACCAAGAAATAATTTCTCCTCACAATCTCAAATCAATATCACGTAGGCAAGTGATGAGAATTAAGAAAAATATCAGTTAGGGGATCATTAGTTGATCCAATACCAGATTCTCCAAACTAATATCATAAGAATTGTATGACTAACCGTTAAGGAGAATTACTAAAGAGATTTGTGAGTTAAATGGATTAGAGTTGCTTACCACAATGAAGTTCATCCGAGTGGTCATTGCAGTTTACTTTCCCATCACATTGCAAGGTTTTGTTAATGCATTTAATGACGTCACATTTGAATTCATCCTTGGAACACAAACCGGAACCTGGAAAAATAATTATTGTAAGCTTGCAAGAAATAAATGCGTGGATAAATTGTTGATTCACCAATCTAGGACAGACCAATTACAGATAAATCGTGTAGAAAATAAATACCGGTATGCACTTTCATCTACCATGAAATCGTTAAATAATTTAAGAATTTTAAAAATGTATGTATATGTTCGACTCTTAGCTATGAATTTAAGTGAACACGCCCAGTCTTCTTCAGCAGAATCTAAAAGATAATTATAAGGTTGAAAGTCACTATTTTTCTCCGCAAAATTTATCTCACGAGTTCGAAGTTGAGAGCTATGTACACCTGTAAGTTGTTGAAATTTTACATTTTTATCAGGCACGGAACAAGACAATACCGCGCCTAAGATCTGCGCGAAATCACTTAAATCATCTTGTCATGGAAACCATTTGAAACTTAACCAACGCCCGAGTTGTACCAGCATCTTGAGACTAAAATTTACTTGCAAATGCGACGCTAGGAAACGAATGTGAATGTTTTTATATATCTTATGTCTTACCTCAACTTGCACTTACCGTTGTAACAGAGGGATAGAAAAATCAACGTTGTGAATATTGCTGTAACAGTGATACCAGACATGTGAACTTCAGTAGATAGACAACGGACAGAGAGTTGGTTCGCAAGCATGCAACTGGGGAAGGCAAATGCTTAAAAAATGGTAAACAACTGGGCGGTTTTATGTCGATCGTAGTCCTCTGGGCTTTGCAACTGAATTCACTAAGATAAAGCTGCAATAAACAATCGCACGTTAAAATCTCTGGATAAAAACCGGCATTCATTGTCTCAGAACCAGCCCGCCAGACCAACTTGAAAATATAATTCTCAGCTGAATGTTTAAGAGGTGGTGGTTTTGTCGTTGATGCGCGACTTTCCAATTTAAATTCAAATTTTCTTATGGCAAATGCATGATTATCGTGGAGAGCAGAGGTTTGAGGTGAAATGATGAAAATTAATATTTTGGGAATACATAAAATATTGTTTTCAGGACCTGAAAGTAAGAAAAAATGGGCGTAGACATGGAAAATATGTTAACACATTCTTCAAGTTACAGGTCTTAAACTAAATACAATCGCGTTAAAAATAAACCTACATCTCGTTTAATCACTTGTTCCTTCATATTCAGTCATTTCTTTCATTACTGTATTTATTTTATCACTTTGTTCATTCACTAATCATCTTTAACGAGGAATCAAAACACGAGATTCTCTCCAAGACTGTGCTGTCAAACATATGCCGCTTTCTCGAAACTGAAAGTTGTTTGAATTAAGTGACAGGATAATTGCTTTGGGCTGAAACATCAGACTTGATATGTGTTTCTAGTGAACCGATAGGGGTGTGTCGCAAGAAGGGGTAAAAATCTATTTAACAAACTGAGTTCTCATGTTGCCGTGGGTCTGTTCAGTAACAGATCACAGATGACGTCACAATGCGGTACGATTGAGTGACAGATGATCACAAGGAATAGAAAGGATTACTTGACAACTCATCACCCGTTGAGGAAGTACATACATAAACTTTTATCCTTTTTAAAACAAAGAATAATTGTCATCCATCTCAAAAAAAATAAGTTAAAGTGGCTCTGCAATGATGAACTGGAACAGCACAACCATTCAAATACAATGAATCAATATAGACGAAGCAGCTCTCTTTGATTTCAGTCAGTTTCTTCCAACACGGAAACTGACAGTGGTATATGATCTGTGAACTTCCGCAGTACGACAAACTGAGCAACGACCAACGAACACGACAAACATGCTATAACTACATACAAAATGATTCCGGATTACAAATTTGGAATTCAATCCTCGAAGGCAAAAGGATCTTTTTAGATGCAAATGAGTTTACCATCAGCTGAGAAAACCGCGTCACGTAACGCGCTGTACATCACATGAATGATCACGCGTGCGTTACACGCGCAACGGTTTGCGCATTTTTTTCAGTCGCGTGGAACTTGGAACTAGTTTCGTATTCTCATACGCCGAAAAGTATGGCGGATGGTCAGAGCGAAAATCATGCGTTGACAAATTTGTCTCCTCGCATCATTTTCGTCCGTTTAAGTAAGGATAAATCCAAAGATACCGTTGAAGATGAAATATTCAAGTACATTAAGAAAGTGCTGGATGAATCAACTGACGGTGACAGCGAATTGGAAAAAGCCAAAAATTGTGTCACTCTGCCAGACTTTGGCACGAGTAAGATTGTCCAAGTTGCAGTGGGTCCGGCGTTCATAGGATTTCTCTTTCATGATGGTCGTGTTTGCAGGGTTAAATGTGTTTCAAAAAGTGTCGAAGGCACACAGACATTGATTAATTCACAAGGCAGTTCAGAGGAACCAATATTTCAAGTGAAAAGCGACGAAGTGTACGCGAAACAACTTCAAAATCAGTTAAATGAAGAGATCAGGATCAACAGGACTTCACCAAGCAGGTCGCTAGTGCACGGAGGAGCGACATCTTCACCTCAATTTTCATTTCGAGCTTCCGATAGATATGGCTTAGGAAATGCTTTTCTTAGTAATCGGACAAGGCAAAGAGTAGCGAGACCATGGACGGCAAGAACAAGTTCTAGTAATTATGTCACAACTCAGGTTAAACAAGGAACTCAGACAAAAAGTGAAGAACCACAACAATCAAGCAATACGAGATCGTCGCCTGTAGGAGACGGTGAATCAAGCAGTCACGAAACAAACGCAGATGAATCAAAGCAATCTTCCAATTCTGATAAAAACATAAATCCTGATGAAAGTTTTACTGATGGGGGCAATTCAGTAACTTCAGTTACATGTAATACTAAATTAGAAGACAAAGAAACAGCTGGAACTTCCAATCCAAATGTGCAGGACAAATGTAATCAAGAGGTAGAAAATTCTACAGGAAATCTGTCTGCAAATCATTCCTCATTGGAGACTTCATCTAGAAGTTCTAATTCTCGTCGGTTGGTTTCTTCACCCACTCTCCTCCACAGGACAGTCTATACAACAAATCTTCCTGGAGTGGTGAGACCCTGGCCTCCATATGGTATACCAGTAGTTGGTTCTGTGCAACAATTTCCACCTTACATCAGCCGTGGAAATCAGATGTCTGGTAGGTCTTCTGTACCACTCCAAGCTCATGTTGTGCGTGCTCATCTTGCGGAGCAATTGGCAGGTGCGTATGTGTTTTCCAGAGGGCCCACAAGTACTAATTTTCAACGAACAGAGGAGAGAGCTGCTGGTGACAATAGTAAAACCATAAGCTGCAATGACCCCGATTTTTGTTATCCTGAAATTGGCAACCTGGAGTGGCTGGAAGTGGAAAATGTGAGTGAAGCGGCACGCACCTGTACTTCATTAAGGGGTTTTTGGTGTTTTACAATTGTCCCTGTTATGACAAAATGCTTGAAAAATTGTTGGTTTTGATCTTTCTAAATTCTGAGTTTATTTGTGCTGGGTATTTTTCAGGCCTTAGAGATGGGAAAATTCTCTGGCCACAGCACAGAATTATTAAGCTCAAGTTTTCAATAGCTGTTGCTGTTGTTTATTAAGATGTTCAAAACCCAGATTGCTTTCATACTACATGTATTTAACCCTGGAACTAGAAGAGTGACTGGTTTCTAATATCTCCTTACAGTATCACCCAAATAATAAGAGCACGATAATATAGGAAAGGATCATCATTATTTAAGAAGCTCTTGATTGTCAAACAATTCTACTAATGTCAGTACCATTGGAATTGAAAGGGGAAAAATGAGGAGATTATGACTAGTAATGATAGTAATCTCCTCCTGCTTTATGACTCAGTGAAAATCCTGTTTTACTTTGTAAATATGATTATACCCCAAATTGTGAAGTGAGTCTGACTTTATTCAGTGGCTTCCTAAAGAAGGAAAAAAGATTAAGAAATTAAAAGCATCATAAACGAAGCTGTTAAATTTAAAGTCGTTTTAAAACTGTTCAATGAGTGTTCTCATTGCATTGCTTTCTCTCAAGAAAGATTAGGGTGGAGATTGAACTAACTGCTTTTTTTTTCTTTTTATTGTGGCCTTCTAGTTTTTTGCATCATCAGTTATAAATTTTGGCAGAAATATATCAATTCTGTTTTAGGAGGGTTCTAAAGAAGGTTACATGTATCTGATACTTCATTGACAAACTTTGACTTGTGCCTTGTAACAAATTCATTTTTTGCATCTTGATTAAGCACACTGAACACTGTCACATAATGGGGCACAAACAATATCCAACAGCAGAGAATTACACATTTTGGTTTAATGAGATAGATAATAAGATATAATTAGTGCTTTCTCTTATTATTGTACAAGCTTAGAGCAAAGTGTGTTTGTAAGAGTGGAAGAAAAACTTATTAAGAAGAGAAACCATCCTAACAAACAAAATGAACCCAGGTGTAGCATACTATGGAGGGGGACTCAATATTGAAAGGGTTGGATGGAATTTCAAAAGCTTTATGCTCTATGATTATAATCCTTTTAGTAATACTTAATTTTAGTTGATTCTATTACTGATAAAAGCTTTTCTTTGCATTTTCATCTTGCTCAAAATGTTGATTGAATTGGTTTGTGCTTTCAAACAATTCTAGCAAGTATTTTTTTTTTCTTTCATTAGGGGAAAGAAGTTGCTTTCTCACACATAGCAGCAATGCATTCAGAATTTGTTCTGGTTGAGAAAGGAACAGGAATCCTTTATCACTGGCCCTATGAAAGTGATGTGGCTTGTGATGTTGCCATGGAGATTTCATCTTCACTTGAACCCAGTTATTTTCCATTGGCAAAACCACACCCATTAGGAGAGGCTTTAGGGCTGGACAGTGAAAAAGTTTGTCTTCTGGCAGCATCAAATGTGCGTTGTTCACTAGTGACTTCAAGTGGAAAGATTTGTACATTTTACGACAAGCTTCTTAGAGGTGTGTGTTCAGTAAATGTGATTCACAATGTACAGTAATGGAGGACAAAATGTGTAGAATTGGCTTAAATTTGTGGATGCCAATGAAGTCATTCTCAGTTAAAGACAAATTTAAATCTGTTCCCATTTTTTACATTTTGACCCATTGTGAATTCTCACTCAAGAAGTACTCTTAGTAATGAAAAACTGTGAAACTATGAGGTACATGTGTGTACAAGCATAATTTTGGCTCTGATAATTCAAAGACCTAGAATTTTAGAATATACCAACATGTATGACTACTGAAGGATTGATCCATTGTGAATTCTCACGCAAGAAATACCATTTCCCTTTTTGCCTCTTGTGATTTCATCAACAAAACTGCAATGCAAATTCCTATAGTGTGTCATTATACAGCTTTTATTTCGAGCATCAGATGGAGAAATCCTTTGTTTGGATGTTGGCAAAAACGGTCTTTCTCAGGAACCTCTCATAGGAAGGTTCTAGCAGAGTTGACATATCCCAAGGCCTGAATAACATGTATTGTAGGATGCCCCTTCCCTGTCTGTAGCCTCACTTTTTCTTGATAAAGAAAACATAAACTAAATGTATCTAGATTTAAATTAACAGTAAATGCACAATATACCTCTAATCCAAACTTTTGATTTTTGTCCCTCTTAGAATCAAATTGTGGAGATCCTCCTGCCCTAGTGCAGGAGCTTTCTCATTCTGCAAGGACATTTGCTGAACTTCTGGGAGAAAAAATTGTCTCTATCAGCTGTAGTGAATTCTTTTCAAGCTTGATGACACAGTCTGGTAAAATATTCTGGTGGTGAGTTTGATGCCATATTGCTTTAGGCATGTCATTTGATATATACAATGTAACTTGTGGGAACAGTATTGAGTACAGATTGCACATGTTCAGTTGCATGGTGAGCCTTGTATGCATTAACCTGTTTCAAGCACTCAGTTCGTAAAATGGGGTGAAACAGCAATTGGTGCCATAGTACACTTGGAGGAGTGAAAAAATGAGAGAAGCATGAGTCTGGTCGACCCAACCTGACCCAAACCTCTCTCTCTTTTTCACTCCTCTGCTACTATTGTTTTGTTTATCTAACTGAAAACCTGGAAAAGGATATTTATGCTTCTGAAGACCATATTTGAAGAAAGCATTTGACTGCCCTCTTGAAAATACAATGTTGATTCTCAAATCAGAGATAGTTTTTGGTTGATTCAAAGTTGTGCAAACTCTGAGTCAAACTGCTACAATCTTACAGTTGTTTCTAGTCAGCAGTCAGTCTCCCATTCATGGTCACTTGGGAGGTTGCTAAAGTGATCCTGCTGACATATTAAGTGCAGGTGGTGTTTGGTAGCCATCTAGTCCTGAGTGGCTTACTTTTTGCTGTTTTTTAGTGTTCTGCCACCTTTAGGGAAATCCACTGCTAAAATTTTATTTATTTTCGTTTTATATAATTATATATATATATATTTTTTTGTTTGTTTGTTTTATTGAACAAACTTGTCCAAGCAAGATGACTGGGTGTCAGTAAAATTTTGTGTCATTTTTTACCCTTCATCTTGACCTCTGTTTTACTTATCGCTTGTTCTAAGGGTTATTCTTAAACAATATTTTACCTTAGTATCGATCAAACTAGTGTATATTTACTTTTACTTTGGTTAACGATTGTTAATAATGTTGAAGCAAGCTTGTGAAGAAGCCTTGTTCAGTGTTTAATTCTTTATACAAGTCACTCTTGTTTACTTTACTTGCCTTCTCTCTTAGGGGATTGTTACCAGCGGAAGAACGCCAAAACTTCAGGCAGAAGTTAAGCAAGGCAACAAATCAATCAAGCAATATTGGTGTCAATGAGAAAGTTCAGCTTCGTCAGCATTTTCCTGGGTTCCCTGGTGCTTTAGTCTACAAATACTGTGAGGTCAGGGGACCCATAGTGGGGCGTCTGCTTGGTCATGAGTCGCCAGAAGGAACAAGCACCGTTGTGACAAAGATTAAGGTTGAACCACTTTTCAAGAAAAGTGTGTCTAGCGACAAAGCAGACAGTGGGGCGGTGCAAACAGACACAGATATACCAGCCGCGAATTCTTCTCGAGCGAAGGCTGTTGAAGAAGAGTTAATTTCCAGCCAAAAGGATTTTGCTAGATCCTCCAGTCCTCACACGAGTGTAAGAAGGAAGGCGCAGTTCTCACACGTGTCAAGTAATGCCTTTGAAATCTGGGAGGTCAAAGATGTTATTTTTCTTGAAAGCGAAAACAAACTGTTAGGGACTGTTGCGGCAATCGATGGCCCTCATGTTATTGTGAAGGTTGCAAACGTGATGTCACCATCAGAATCGTCACTACGCGTCTTCAAAGTATCCGAACTGGAGCCTGTACCAAGTGAGAGTGCCGAGGGAAGTGCATTAACTCAACCATTACCAAAAAGTTCGTTATATAGAGGTTGTATTCAACATGCGCCAAAGTGTGTTGTCAGCAGCTCGCCCCGATCGGGAGGGAAAGATGTTCTCTCTGGTTTTAAACCAGTGGCCATGACAGCCACATCGACAGGGATCTCTCTCGTTGTGCAGCGTCTCTCAGATAAGAAAACGTTCTTTATGGGACCAGCCATGGAACAAGTTGTGGACAGTAGTAAGGTGTACACGTGTAGTGGAGATATTAATGTACCCTCGAGTATTGACGATGGTTCTTGTACGGTGGAAGCTGAGGCCATCCAAAGCCAGGAAGGAGCCCTTGCACCAGTATCTTTGGTGCCTTCGGACACTTCTTCAAAGCCGACCATTGGGCTGAAGAGAAGGAGAAGTAGTGACGAAAACGATGACGATGATGAAAGCGACACTTCACATTCGCTTCAGATGAAGCCAAACATCGAATCATCAACATTTAACAGACTTCTTCCTTGTAACTTCTATAGCACCAACCAGAAATTTCCTTTGCTTCACTCTTCAAGTGATTATGACATTGTTCTGCTGACTGATGTCAACGGCTGTCTATACCCAAGGCCGTTTGGGACCAAGTTGTCAAATCCGAATGTTGGTGAAATTCCTCCTGTTCAGAGTTTTGGTCTTGGGACGCGATTAGGTCACAGTTCAGAAGGCAATTCTTCGCCTGAAAGAGTGTTGATAGCGTTTATAGGTTGGTTTCATTTAGTTTTTCGGGACGACTTCTTCTAAAACACTGTCTCTTGTGACAACTTTAATCGTAAATGAAAATATCAAACTTTAAATTATGTTTGGCAGTGTCATATCCACGAATTGAATCGTTGTTTCCGGTTGAACCGGAAGCTCCGTAATTTTTGGGTACCTTTCCTTTTTCAAGAAACAAGGTTTCTGGTTGCTTTTACAGCATAAAAATTGCAAAACATGTGTTGAAGACAGTTTAGCCAAAGAAAAAATCGCAAATTTTATTAATTTACTTTCGAATTCCTTGACGCAATCTTTTGGTCTTTTGATGAATCATTTGTTGACGAAGGTTGTGCGGATGAGTGGGATACTAACGTTTTTCGTTCCGCGTTTTTGTGGATTTCTTCGCGCTCCATAAAAAAAACAAGGTTGTTCGGTCAAGATGTTTGGGGATATTTCGTGTTTTTGTGGATTTCATCTTGCTCCATCAAAAAACAAACAGAACCAAACCAAACACTAGGGCAATATCTACAGTAGAAAACTTGAATGAGAAAACTTCGTCAAGAACCCATACTTCCTTATATTAGGACACACCTACTGTATGTCTTAAAATTTGTTCTTAAACGCCATTTTCCATCTTTCTCACAGCATTCCAAGAGCAACGCCTTATACCAGCTGTGCAATCTGGCGTGGTGGATCGAATCCAAGAAGCACTGGACTTCCTCAAACAGCTGAACAGCAGTAAAGACATCGGAAAAGGAAATAAAAGCGTTGTAAAGGGGTCCAAAAAGGTTGTCATCACTGACGCTCACGGTGAAGTTCACGGAGAGCCAGTGGGACAAACTGTTGTAATCAGCAAGAGAGTTTTACAGCTGCTTCATCAGCATTCCACCTCCAATCAAAATGTGTTGCACATTTGTTGTAGCAATCCAACATTTGTTGAAGACCGAGATGGAATCCAGAGTGTTATAAAGAACAGCAGTAAGGGTACGTGCATAGCTAAACTTGACCTTTTAAAAGAAATAACGAACTTGTGTTTGTTACGTTTTATTAAAGTTGTAACTTTTGTTTGTTTTTCAGAGGCAACTGTGCCTATTAGTGTAGGTTCCAAGAGCAGTAGTGAACTGTCAGTAGATGTGAGAGGATTGCACATGTTGCTGAATGATTCTGTATTTGCCAAAGAATTTGTGCCCATGGTAAGGCAATTTCTCTTTTCCAGCAACTTTCAACTGAACGGCAAAAGTAATCCAGCATTGCATTGGTTCTGCTTAACTTCGTTCTCTGATTTGTCTATGAAAGTCCTGCCACCCTCTCAACCAATCAGATTAAAAAATTAAACCAATCGCGACCTTTCACTGCGTTTTCCCGCGCTTTTGGGCAAGTTGCCTATTTTTCTTTTCTTCAAGTTCTCATTGGCTCCTAATGATATTTTTCTTTGCTCTGACTGAGCATTGTGATTATTTTGAATTTGTCTTCACGACACTCGATCGAACTACAACCTGTCCATTTTCATAATTTTCGATAATTTCAAGTTTTTTTCCTAAAATCATTTTGTATATTCAAGTATTGTGTTGAATGATAAATGGGGAGTACGCATGGAAATTGTATATTTTGACCACAAGTAAATCTGGGGCCGTCAATTTCTGGTTAGTTTTGATCATGAATTAACCACACCTTTCAAAATGGTTATTTATTCCCTGTCAACAATGGATAGCAGATTGAATGCTTCCTGTTCATACTACAACAATCACCGTCGGTGGAAACGCGTGAGCGAATCCTTGAGCTTGCGCGCATTAACGCTGTAGTCAATCATCCTGCCATACTGCATGTTAGAGAAACGTTGGTTTTTGTATTTCAGTTGAAAGAGCGAGATGCCTGTGGGAATACTCCTTTCATGACAGCTATCCAGTGCCACAACTTTAAGGCTGCTATGTACATTCTGGATTTTGTGGAGAAAGACAAAGGTAGGTAGAAGTGACTCTGACGAGGGTGTTGTTGTGTTCTTGGGCGAGAGATACTTTTCATATTGCCTATCTCTACCCGAAATATAAATGGCTGATGTATATCATAGAGGTAAAGGTTTCGACACGAGCCGGTAAATGCCGCCTATAAGGCCTCTTATCGTCGTCTGTTTAGTCTGTGAGCAGGTTCGTGTTTAGATTTCGCCTTACAGCCCCTTTTCCGGGCACAGCCGCCTGTTACATCATCTGTAGCCGCTTATGGAAAAAGTCATTGAAATCTCTGAGAGGGCTTTTTTAAAATAGAGGTTTTTACAGTATTAAAGATGATGTTATTGTACTTGTGACATTTTTCGCATTCCGTAGACAACTGCTCCTTGAAGGAAATGATATTCCCAGCAGCATTCAACGGCATGACGCCTCTTCATGCTCTCGCCGTCGCCTGCACAGAGAATCTTCCCCCCAGTGGACTGGGAAACAGCTTGACTGTGACTAACCTGCCTTCCAGTTACACGCCAAGGATTCTGTTGAAGTTGTTTCAAAGCAGATATCCGTCAGCTTACAGAGCCACCATACCACCTATAGACATGGAGGGAAGGAAGGTAAAATTAATTGCCGCTCCTGATGAGAATTTTAATACATTTTCAAGAAGAAAGGTGACGAGTAGGTTCTAGTATCATCCGCTGGTCGGGAGAAAAAATAAAAATAAAGTTTCCTCCCTCCTCGCCCCCGCCCCCTCTCGTCAGGACTTTAAGTCTTGTGTATTCTTTGTAGTTGTATCGCACGAAGACCCCAAAGCAGAAGGTAATTGAAAAACTGCAAGCCAAAAAAGCGAAGAAGACACATAAGAAGAAGCCCACTGAGTTGAAGAGAGGTAACTTACTAACACCACCCACGTCTGGTGGGAATGGACATCCATGGTCAAGGCGATATGTCGATGGAGGAGCGCGGATTCCCGTGGTCAGCAGTCGACGAGAGTCTTTAACAGGTGAGAGATTATTTATGCGGTGATCGGCCAGATGCTCACCGAAAAGGAGATTGAATAGGTGCTTCTTGGATATTACTTGTGGGTTTTTATTTATGACGGATTGGAAAAAGAGAACGAAGCAGTAACAGCAACAACTGCTGTGTGTGAAGAGAGGTATTTTCAGATAACCTGCATAACCAACGTCTTAGGTCAGCGGAGTGATGTGCGCTAGAGTCGCGTGCAGGTCAATACGAAGTAAGTTTCTGTCGATGACAACTCTTACAGCCTCAATTCGTCCTCCAAGGGAACCCTTAATTATCGTGCTAATTACATGTCACATTATTCCGAGGAGATTAGTTGTGTTGAGTTGAAATTAACTTAGGAGGTGATGCTTTTTTTAAGGTTTCATTCTATTTCATACCTGTCGTTTCCCCTCGACCACTGAAAAATATTTCTGCAGGAATTATTTGAACACAAATTCCTAGCCCTCGCTGATGCCTAGAACTATGTTTCGGTTGCGCCTTTTTTTAACACCTGGTAAATTTTTGTTTAATTAGGAGTGGTGACATTTTCTGATCCTAAAGAACTGAGACAAGCTCTGGTGGAGATGGATCATCACATGGTGTCCAGTGAGATGACCGCACCCGAAGGTGGACTTGCCAGCTTGGTGCAACATGTTCTGCATGTCAAACTCACTGAGGTTTGTTGTTGACAATTTGTAAGAAAATCACTCCGTCCAGCTTAGCTCTACCTTACATTCAAAATCTCTTCTTGACCAGGTGGCCTCGAGGTCGAGTTCTGCACTGTCAGTTAAGGAATCAACGAGGATCCTTAAATCAAAAAGTACAGACCGCGAACTCATTTAGAAAGAGGTCTTCATTAGATGTCTTCAGCGCATCTGACTGGTGCAGGAAACAATTTTCAGTGACGTGTAATGACTTGAATGACTGACGCACATCGAAAGCAACACGAGTCAATTTGAAAACATCGCTTCGTCGTCAGCACCGGTCATAACCGACAGTTTAAAGATAACAAAACATTTGTGTGTCCGAAACAGAAACAGAGTTTTCGGCAACAAAAGCAGATTTGAATTCCGAGGGAACTCGCAGCAGAGTACAATTTGCTGAATCGACCAATCACAGCACGTTTTGTAACTGAGATGGGAAATAAAAAGGGTTATTTCCTGCATATCGTAACCTAAACTATCACAAAGATATTTCACTAAAGCAACTAATATTTGAGTTTCGGATTAATTTCCAGGTAGAGAACGAGGAGTCAGAGAAGAACGAGATGGAGGTGGGTGTCAGAGGGGGAGTGTACAATGTGTCCAATGTTGATGGAGTACCCAAGATAAGTCCAAAGTCACAGGCAACTACCAGTGGTGACATACTCAGCAAGACGGTAATAACGATGGTATTGATAAGAATGATGAAAATAACAGTAATAATAATAATCATCATCATCATGATGATAGTTGTAATAATCTTAATTCTGATGATGATTGGTTGATTATAATGACAATAATCATGGTAAGAATGTTATAATAATATTTATGATGATGATGATTATAAATATCAATTGCCTCTTTATCGAGGCCTCAAGTCTTCATGTAACCTGTTGCCTGTGTATATTACTCTTCAAGGTCATTCAGCTTTGCGAAGACTAGTTGAAATGTGAATTTCAACGGCCGGTTGTTACATCAACTTTCAGCTGTTTAGTAAAACCGTGCTCTAGATCATCTTTTTGTGTAAATGTTGATTTTAGAGCGTGAACAGTGTCAAGATGACTTAAGGCTGACACTGCTTTGCTTCAAACATCCCAGTCAAGAAAAAGAATCACTTGGCACATTCATGGTCTAAAATCGAAGCCCATGTTAGACTGAATTTCAACAACCCGCCCATAATAACTCATAATTGTTGTGCCTCATCTTGTTCTGTATGTAGTGAATGAAATGTTTCCTTTGGAAACTACATGTAACTGGAATTAAACAATTAACACATTGAAACATTTTTTACACCATTGTGTGCACCGTCTTTGCGTAACATGTTCAACGAATGTGATCCGAGATGGTTTCAAGCATACCAACTTCAGATTAAAACCTACTTTATGTAAGAGTAATTTAAAACCCCTTTGCTATACTAAGGAGATGGCGTTACCGAGGTTGTTACTGGTCCTGAATTCTTCCATTTTTTGTCTTTAGGAAGAAGAAGATAAATTAATATGCCAGCTTGTTTGCCGTCTTTTGCCATATCCAGAGGTTAGTAGTGGTAGCATTTTGTCAATTTTCAAGATTTTTGTGGGTAGGGACTGGTTTGTTCCATCAGCATGAGGAGGATTGGGAAGAGATATATTTTTAGCAAGGGGGTGATTGGCAAACGATATCGAAATAAACCATGGCTGTACGGTGAATCTTCTTCATCTTGTGACGTTTACTTCTACTCCTTGTGAGATACATATCCTTGCCGGCAAGACAAGGTGTATTTTCAAGGAACTCTTCCTTTTTCCAAGATCGGAATTTTAAATTCTCCGTACTTATCACATAACGTTCCATAACGCGTAAGTTCTGAGAATTGACGGTTCTCTGTAGGTTACTATTTGTATTGCGCTTACTTACCTGCTCCCCTTGGCTGTTTTTAGTTTTCACTGATTTGTATTCTTGGCTCATCATACTACATTATAACGTGACTTACAATGTTTTAGATTGCCACAGCCACAAACAGAGAGGGCGAGACAGCCCTGGCTTTCCTGGTGAACAATTCCCGCTGGGTCAAACTGAGTGCAAATCAAAAGCAGCGTCTCTCTAAATACGGCAGCATCTTGCTTGGGCAAGACGCAGCGTTCCCTCTGAAGCGAGAACAGAGACCCCAGCAAGAAGTCTCTCGCTCTCCACAGGAAGACGAAATAATGACGGAAATCAATATTACAGGCGTTTCAGATACCACTATGCTGGAAACTAACCTTCTGGCACAGCTCGATGATATCTCGAGCAGCTTCCGAAGCATCGTGGACACACTGCAGGCTTTGGAGAGGCGATGTCAGCTGCCTGATCAACCGCGGCAGCAACAGCAGACTCCTCAGACGGGTGACGAGAAGGATATGGAGAAGCTTCCTGGGAACGAGTCGACATCAGGTGGAAACGAAACACCAATGGATGTAGCAAGCGAAAATACAGCAGGGAGTATTGACTTGATAGGATTTCCTCCCAATACAGCAGTTGTTCCTGATGATCTCCCTGGTGACAGTCTACCAGTTTTGATACAACTCATACAAAGCTGGCCTTCCGTGGTGTCAACGATACTGGGTTACTGCCCTTTTGGCGCTTCATCAGGGCACTCAGATGTGCACATGACGAAGGAGCCTTGTGGTTCCGACGACTCACCTCCAAAAGGTCCATCTCGATGTAACCCGGTAGATTCTTGCATCCTGGATTTGTTTGTCTTTGAGTTGCTCTCTCACTCTGATGAAGCCGTTTTGATGACTTTTGTGGAGATGATTGTCGATGAGATGAATAAGCATTCCCAAAACATGACGCTAGATGCTGTTTATCGAATTGCCCAATTGCAAGGCGATCTAAGCCCTGCGGATGTCGCCATTATGGTGGGGATGAAGTTCTTGAGGTCTGTTATTCGTCAATTGGCTGTTCATCTCAGTCGCTCTGGCTTGTCTTACGTCGACCTCCGGACTCGCCTTGGGTCCAGTCCTTCGACGCCCAGTACCAGAAGCAGTCAGGGGGACAATGTAGAATTTAAGAGGAAAGTCAGGTAAGGAATGAAGAGAAATCTTCAACAGAATGTCGTCGAAAGCATTCTGGAATTGCTTTGGTTTTTCGATACTTCGCCTCAGTACAGTTTTTTCAATGCATTTAAAAATACGACTTGGATGATTCTTCTTCTATCACTAACTAAACAAGCACACTCCTTTTGCAACTTGTTACGTGCCTATCTACTACGAGAGGTTTTCTGTGTGTAAGTGATTGTGAGTGTTTGGACGTCGTCCTCTGTATAGTTAACCTTTAACTCCCAAGATCTCATTAGTCCTTCTCTTTGCTGTCCCTTACAGTTCTTATTATGTCAGCTTGGAGAAATTGGTATTGGATCAACTAATAATCCACTAATTGATATTGTTCTTTATTCTCGTAGCTTGCCTGCTAGGGAGTGTATTGAAATTGTAAGGAGAAATTCTGTTTTGGTCACTTATGGAAGTTAAAGGGTTAAGTGACCAAAACGTTAGTTATTTTTGCAGTCCTGTTGCACTGTATTCTCATCATCGACTGGTCTTGTTATCGATAACGTCATATTCTGTTATGATTGTAGAATGATCCTTCGCTCGTTTTCATGGCTAGCTGTTCACGAGCTGACTCAGGCTGCTGAGGCCTCCGTCCTTCCCGTTCGCGAGGGTGTGGCTAAACCCCAAGCTCGTTCTACTGGTTCGTCTGTGAGTAACAATGTTCCTAACCCCAATGGAGGATTTCCAGGAGGGAGGTTCCGATTTAGACCAGGTAAAGTATTATTGAGAGAATGCAATAAGTCTCTAATGTAAAATCCAAAGAAGTTTTTAAGAAAGCTTTTTAGGAAAAACTGAGCCTGATTTATAAATTGCAGGAATCCGAGTGGGTGGTCCTCATGATTCAAGCACCAGACCACAGGATCCACCACTTAGGACAGCTCAGAGGTATGTTTAATTCAATGCTGTAAATCCAACTCTGTCCGGAATTTTCTAGATATCTTTTCAGTAAAACGTATGAATAATGTATTCAGAATAAACTCTTTCAAAACTTCCAAGGAGGGGGTGGGGTGGGGGGTGTCACTATTTGTCTGTTCTTCTAGACCCAGTCGTTTGTTGAAGAGTAGGATGAGGACGTTTTAAGTGGGGGGAGGGGGAGGGGGAGGGGGGAGGGGGCTAATTAGAAACAGGGCTCACTAAGCCAAGTGCATTTTGAAGGGGGCTCTTTTTCATTACATGCTCTTGCAGTCTATACCCGCGTTGGTTTCCCTCAGAATTTTTCTGCGCGTGTGTGACTTAATATGTGTTCTACATTAGGATTTCGCAAACCAATGTGACAGAAAATTCCTCAGTGTGCCGCGGTATCAGACTAGCAAACATCTCTGAAGGACCTTCCGGGATCGCTAACAAGAAGCGCGCTCCAAGCCCCTTCAGGGCCTCTTCTTATGAGGTTTCCAGGCTGCATGGCAAAAAGAGTTCCTTAGTCGACAGTGACAGTGACTCTGCTGACGAAACTGATCACGTTGGGGCTTTAAGCGGCGACGGTGATAGCGACATGGAACTAGACGAGCGAGATCAGCGGTCTGTTTCCTTGACGACAGGAATAACCCATGACCACCCCTATGCTTGGGCCCTGGATGGTCGCGTTGCCAGTTTGAATGAGGGAAACAACTTGCCCGGACATATTCACGTGAGTCTCAAATGATGAAAGCTAAAAATGGTCCTTGTACCGTAAATGGCCTTAAAACCGTCAAAATGATCGAGAATTTACTGTTCCTGAAGATATTTTTGGAGTTCAATTATGTCTGTTGTGGTCGTTTTTGTTTGTTAATTTTTTCCTCTGGTTATTGTTCTCTTTGTTGGTTTTTTCCCAAGTTTCCTCCTTCCCGAGGGAACTTTCGCAAGTAACATGCTCGAGGTATCCCACTGTTTCTTTACAGATTCCACAATGGGCGACCCCCGTCGTTTCACCTCCTAGCGTCCACACTGGAAATTGCTACTTGACTCGCATGTTCTCGCGGCTGGTAAAGGAGACTTTGGACCTCATGACAACTCTCACTAAAGACACCCACCCCACTCAGGAGGGTAGTGCCATGCTGCCCTCTCTCACTACGACCCAGGAGGAACGTCAGTCCGTTCAGGACCATGTTATGTCCGTTCTCGAGAAGTCATGGCTGTGGCTGGCTGGAGTGCTTGACGTGGTCGAGGGTCAGTTGCGGATGGGAAAAAATTTTGATACCAAGGTTGGTCTTTACTTTACAACTAACAATCTTACGTTACATTCTCTTGGCCCTTTATACCCTAACATCGATGTCCACTTTCTCTATACACTTCTCTACTCATTTCCTTTGGTACTGACATGGAGAATTTGTTTAAAGATCAAAGCTTCTTAAGTTGAAATTAGTGGGTGATCCTCGAATCAGCGCCTAGGAAGCTTATTTCAAATTTAGGGAAATAATATTAATGAGTCCTATTCCTGTCTTGGCGTATCACATTTGCTTTCTTCTGTAACCTCCTTGCATATTGTTTTTTCTCCAGCGGTATCTAGCGTCACTTCAGCGGCCTGAAGACACTGAGCTGGCCATGTTGGGAAGATCTTTGTCGACCATACCAGGGGCCTCTCCTGAGGAATATTTGATGTTCCTGCTGAGGGCTCATAATAATGAACACAAAGACTCACTCCCTGTTGTGGATATGCTTTGGTAAGTTTTATCGCTTTGTTAAGTTTTACTACTTTGTTAAGTTTTACTGCTTTGGTAAGTTTTATTGCTTTGGTGAGGGTTATTGTAAGTTTTATATGGTAAGTTTTACTGGGGGGTTGGGATTAAAGAAAAATTCTTCTTGGCCCAGTTGTTCGAAGGGCGCATCAAGCTACCCAGTGGATAAATAGCTAACCAGCAGATAGGTGTTAAGAAAATGTACTGCGCTATCCATCTGCTAGAGATTCATCCGTGGAAAGTTTTATCCGCCCTTCCAACAGTCGGGGCTTGTTGTGTTATTTAGTAAACCTTTCTCGAGGGTCCAGTGGATGTCTACTTGGTAAATATCATCTTACTTAATTTCTTAGTTATGAGCACGCTGTGTATGTTCTGGACGCATTCATTTACTCCATGACGCACTGGCCTCGACTGGCTTCAACCCTCAACCGAAGAATTTCCACGACGAGCAACGATGGAGACGACTCTAGCCCCAGTTTCTCTCAGCCTTCACAGCCCGAAGATGGATCTTCAAGCCCGGAAACTAAGCCCTCACCTACCACAGAATCAAAGCGGTGGCGACGTCACAGCCATGAACGAGAGGCTATTATAAAGTTCTTTGGTATGGACGTTATACAGGGTGACAGAGAGAAGTTTCTGACCAGTCTTCAAGATACAATTCAACAGAAATTTCCCAAGGTACCCAAAGCATCTTGGGAAGTTTTCACTCATAATGTGACCATGGCCCGTCAGAAGTCTGAAGACCCAAATCTAGCGTCGCAAAAGGAAAGTGATGAGGAAAGCGGACTACCGACAACGTTTAGTGCCATGGGATCGTAAGTACTATTCGCATTAATTGTCCACGTTCCACGCGAGATAAAAACACTGGCTTCGAGTCAATCGCGTGAAATAGGTTTTTAAAAAAGTAAACCGTCTTTTGGTGGTGAACTTGTTCGGTTTGGTTTTCTTTAGTGGCTGAGGCTCTTACCAGAACAGGAGCGTTACTTTGTGATGGGACTTCGTTAACGAGTTTAACGCTTCAAAGTTTTTCTTTCGGTTAGGTTAGTTTTACATGTACATGTAAGTCTCGACTTTCTTTACCAGACCTAGTTTTCCATGTTCTCGTCGAAATATATAGAACTCTTTGCCATTACGATAATATATTAATTGATAAGAAAAGACCCTGGACTACATTGATTTTTCTTCACTTAGCATAGCGATTTGCCCAGAAATCTCGCGCCACTTTCCCAACCAACCAAATATAAAATTAAAACCAATTCCCTGAACTTCCAAGGGAAAATCAAGCCTTAAGTGATTCTAATTTGTTGTTTATATTTCGGCAGGCACACCTACCCCTCTCCCCTAGTGACAAATTGGTCACCTGATCATGTGATAGGCAGATGGAAGATCTCTGTGGATTTGTTTTCCCGCCTGTTTCTGGCAGATGGGCCCGGGGCTGAACGAGAAAGTTTCTTAGCGGCACGCGCTGGTGTGGCGGGAAGATTAGCAAGGTACGTATGCGCTTATAGCTTCTCCAGATGAACTCATCTTTTCGATCATTGAATAAACTAACTCCACTATACTTTTGTTTCCCAGATTCCGCCGAGCTGCTTCTTATCTCCGTGAATCTATCACAAGCGAATCGCAGCAGCTTGGATCGTATGGAGGACTGGGTGCGAGAGTCAGCACCACTCTGACTCTGGCAGTCAAAAGACAGAAGATACAGGAGAATACCCTTAGAATACTTGGCGAGGTAATTATTATCGTTATTTGCCCCTTGTTGCTTTCCCGTAATTTATCGTTAAAGATTATTTAGGGCAGCAAGTTTGTGATTCAAGGCACTCTTAGATGCAGTACTAAAATCTCCTTGTTTTTTCCTTCTATAGATGTCCACATTTCACTATAGCAACCTTCGAGTCAAGTTCGAGGGAGAGGAGGGCTCTGGGCCGGGTGTGAACCGGGGATTCTTTGCTGCCATGGCGAATGCCCTAAAAACGGACGAAAAGGTAACTATGTCGGAAAAAACGTTGTTCTTATTCTTCGTTTGTCTTACAATGTAGTCTCTTCCGATGTGGATTTCGACGTTTCGACAGTAAATCGGATGAGATTGGCGGATCTTTCGTGATTAAAAGATCGCTTACGCGTTGAAATCTTGTTTTTCCAGTATGCCATTTTTGCTAAAACTCGTTCCATGATTTTGAAGTCATTTTTCTTTCTTCCCGCCAAATGTGCGTTCGTGCGCGCCCACTGTGTTCCATGATTTTGAAGTCATTTTTCTTTCTTCCCGCCAAATGTGCGTTCGTGCGCGCCCACTGGTTCCGTGTATTTGTCGTACTCGTCGCTGTAGTTAAGTCTAAAGTCGCTATAGTTAAGCTGAGGATTGCGAACGTTGAGGCATACAAGTCTCCTTTGCTTGACACATTTCTCATTTTCTAGCTTCCAGTTGAAACCACGACTTTACTTCATGAGCCAGGGAAACTGCCGGAGCAAAGCGGGTTCTATGCTCCTAAACCGTTTGCGTATTCTGACAACTCCCCAGAGGAAAACAATATCAAGGTAATTATCTGGAATGTTAAAATGAGATTTCTTTGAATTCTGATACATGTTTGGCTGCACGTTTTCAGCCCAATTCAAGACGTACATGTACGTGCTCCATACAGCACTCGTTTTGGACGACAAACCTGTTCTAGGTTAATTTTATCACGGTAGTTCAGTCTTCCTTAATTGAGCCATGTGTCTTCAAAAAATCCACTTCGCATAGCTGAAGTTTTGTTAAGTAGATGGTACAGCCGCTAGGCGCGCGCAAAGAAACACGAGACGTGATTAACCTCTTTTCAAGTCTCCTATCTTCGTTTTCTGGGAACAAGGTTGAAGAAGTGAATTGAGGTACAAAGCTACGTCCCCGTTTGTTTTTGGTCAAGCCTGCCGAATTGAGCAATATTAGTCGAATTTCAACATTACTTGGAATTGCGTTGGTCTTGCTTTGTGATAGGACTACTGAGAAAACTCGTACCACTTTACAATTTAGCCTCTGTCATTTAATGCAGAACTAAAAGCAATCGTAACTTGGTGACTGGCGTTTGCTCGTGCTTAAGGCTGTCTCTTTATCTCTTTATTTTCACGCTTTGAGTCTTCATTGGCCTCGTGTTATTTTTTTGACGAATTCCAACCTCTACTAAAACCTATAAAATTTAAGGACTTTGTCAAATACCCCTGTTTTACTCAGCTTCTCAATTACTTTAGCATTTGAAGCTTTTTGCTAGGTTTGCTTCGCAATTCTTGATTCCTCATGTACTCCTTAGGAGAGTGGGACACTAAGAGTAACCCACTTCATCACAGAACGTCGGTAACTTGTGAATTTATCTCGCTTTTATTTGTTTCAGAATCGTCGCCTGAAGATGTTCACTGCCATTGGCCGATTCATTGGTTTAAGTCTTTGGTTCAGTAACACCGTACCATTGAACTTTAGCCGCCACGTGGTTAAATTTCTACTAGAAAGGTACCGTTGTTGGAAAGAACTTAAATAATGTAACTTTATCACTGAGGGGCGCTTCAAGCTTGCTAAAAATTACAAAATTGACAGCCTGGTGAGTCTGTTAAACCTGATGAAGGTCTGCGTTGATATATCGAAATGTGAAATCATCAGTTTTTATGCCTGCTTTGATGTTAGGACTACTTTGATATTGGGACTGCGTTCGTGAAAAAGGTTAGAAGTTCCCAACCGCCGACAGAGACTTCCAACACCAGTCGCAGCAACAATCGAACAGATCACAATATTTTGTTAATATTGTTGTTGTTGTTTTCTTTGTTATTTAGAGATGTAACTTGGGAGGACCTGGCGTTTTTCAATGCTGACCTATTTGAGGGACTCAGTCGTATGATTCTAGACACCACTCACCCTCTGATGACCTCAGAACGCTTTCAGGCCACATACTGCTGCCATTTTGAGGTACGAGTTTAAACAGTACATTGATGTTACAGTAGCCAGAAGTTTCGCCCCTTTGTAAGTTTGCACCAACCTCGACGAACTCGCCCCCGTCATCGAATGGTGATGTTACAGACCATCGTTCTAGAAGCTTAGAGTGTATATTTATTTCTACAGACACCTATGTCGTCGATAGGTAAGAAAACAGCTTAGTTATTATTTTGTACTTACAGACGTCAGTGGGCGGGACAACAGAAGAACTCGTACCTGGAGGTTCGCAGATTCCCGTGACGCCTGACAATATCTTCAAATACGTCAGGTAATGTGGTAAACTTACCGTCTGAACGGGAGATACATGTTTATCTGAATTGGTTGACGCATCGATGTCACTAATATGTTAACATGCTTTAATAGAAAGTTTAGACGATGCTACTGTGACAATAGTAATTTTGATATAAGTGTGGGCAGGGGGATGGGGGGGGGAGGTGGGTTTCCGAACGCACGTATTGACAGAGACACCGTTGGGGTCCTAGTAAGAAAGAAGTTCGAAAATCCTTTCACAACCAGTTCTACCAACAAGTATATATGTTACTCTCAGTATTGTTGTTAGAATTTTATTTACGTGAGAGGATCAGGTTGTTATTGGTTTAAAACGGTTTCTAAATAAATTATTTAGAAGGCGTGCAATGATTTGAAAATATCAAAGGACTTTGAATCAAGATTTCCCAATGCAGGATTTTTGTGAAAGCGAAAAGCTCTTGATGTTCTATTTTTTATGATTATGAATATCATCATTTTTATTATTGTTGATAATTTGACCGTCGTTTCTTTGTTTAGACTTTATGCTAGCAAGGTGATGATCGGCTGCGTAGAAAACGAATTACGAGCCATGAGGAGCGGACTAAATGACGTCATTCCTTCTGAACTCCTGACATCTCTTACACCAGAGGTAAGCCACCAGTTATGTGACCAGCAGTCGTTTAATACTGTCATGTTTGCTACGTGAGGTGAAACTTAGATTCTACCCTCTAATTTTTCCCGCCCAGATTGACACTCGTGGTTCTTTTTTTCTCCTTTTTTTTGTAGGATTTTCAGCTCTTACTGTCAGGAGGAACGACAGATGTCGACATCAACCGTCTTCGCTCTGTGATGACGTTCAGTAACAGCAATGGCTGTTCCACCGATATCCTTGACAGATTTAAACGGTAGGTAACATTAGACCAACAGCTGATTCCTTATTCTACTTAGTGGCCGTCCTACATAACCGCTAGCTTAGTCTTGAGAATTTGTTATTTCAAGACAAGATCTCTCTCTTGTTTTCTTGACTATGTACAAAATTGTAAAGAGTGGTGACGTGATCATCTTGAGTTGTAGGAGGAAATGTTTTTACCCGTAAGCGCTCTCACAAGATGCGAAAGCATCCCTTGGATGATTTCCCCTATAATGAGTTCCCCTTTTGATGAGTTCCCTTTGATAAGCCCCTTTTCATACCCACTATGATAAACCCCCTCTGATAAGACCCCCTCGGATATACCCATCTGATAAACCTTATTCTGATATCTCTCCCTTAATCAGCCTTCTGTGATAAGCCTCTCTTTGCTAAGCCCCTCTGATAAGCCCCCATCTGATATCTCTCATGATACCTTCCCTTTGATAAGCCCCTCCCTCAGAAGAGTCCTCTATTTGACAAGATTAGCCCGCCCCCCCCTCTGAAGCGTCTCCATTTGACAAGATAAGCCATCCCTCAATACGCTCCCTTCTTCTGATAAGGCCTCCCCCTCCACTCTGAATAGTCCCCTCTCTAATAAGCCCCATGTCCACCCGGAGCTTTCAGAGAATCCACGATATTTATGAAAAGTGGTCTAATTATGGACTAGCTCCTTTGTTCTCCACATTTCTGAAGAGACTGTGGAAGACCTCGCGGATCTTATCTCATCTAATCGAATGTAGGGTCTTGACCAGAAACCAATTCCCCCAGCCTGTAGTGAACAAATTTCACCCATAAGGCAACGAGAATTTAAATATTGATGATGATCTTTCCACCCTATTAAGGTGGTTCTGGTCCATTGTCCAAAAAATGACTCCTCTTCAACGACAGCAGCTGCTTTACTTCTGCACAGGGAGTGCGGTTCTCCCAGCTCTGTCGGACAGAAGAGACCCGGAACAAGGTATGGTGTTCTCTCTTTCAGTGATGGGAATTTTTCTTGTCTTATCTAAGTTTGGGTCGCTATATTTAGACAGAAAAATACGTTCTATCCATTGAAGGAGACGGGGAGAAGAAGATCTTCTCGAAAAAGTGTTTTTCAGATGAATTCAGGTCGAAATTGACTGATGTAAATTTAATCTGTCATTCAAAATGAGTCACCCTTGGACCGGCTTCCCAATTCTTTTTTCCAATCCGATCACAGGAAAATGATCCCAGACAGTCGTGTCATTCCTTTTTAATCAAGCTATCCAGTGTTATTTAGCAGTATCTTAAACCAGGAGCGCATTATGATGGGCCAGTCCTTCTTAACCCTTTACACCCTAACATCGGTATGCATATTCTCCATACTTTCACTATACATTTCTTAAGGTTCTGAAAAGGAGAATTTGTTAAAACAATCAAGAGCTTCTTCAGTTGTTGATCATTTCCCTTATTCCCATGACCTTAATGCTTCATTCAGGAGTGATATTGTAAGGAGAATTTAGATGCCAGTCATCCTTAGGGGTTAAAGGGTTAACCCGATTGTTCTCACTTATGATATTTCCCAAGTTGAGGCTGCGATTAAAAAGAACGTTGTTAAGGATTTTTATTTTAAGACTGTTTAGATGTGGCCATAAAAAGTGGAGGCTCACTTGTTTAATACTATAGCGTGATATGGAAATGGTGTCCCTGAAGAGACAATTTTCGTATTTTCAGACCTTAACATCACTGTGGATGTCATCAGTGGAAACACCAAGGCGTTACCCATGGCAACTACTTGTGGTCAGCGGATGAGCATACCGTTGTACCCTTCGAAGAAAATCTTGAAGAGAAAACTGCTCCAAGCCATCCAGTGTCAGGGTTATGGCTTGGGCTAAATAATTGTCAAGACGGCTCAACTCTTAATGCTTCTTTTCACCGATTACTTATTACCGTTTATTTTATCACCGGTATACTGGAACTTTGTCTTGCAAAATACGATGCATCACTTTGTGACGAGCCTTACTCGTGCACACCAAGCACCACAGAGAAAGCACCCTCTTCATTGGACTGCTGCGTGACTTTTACGTACCTTTCAATTTAATCTCCGATTATCAAATGACTAAAGTTTTGGAACCGTTTTTAGTTGCGCTTCTGTTTCTGTCAGGAATTAGAGATTAGCTGAGTATTTAGTTAAAGCATCTAATGTATTGTTTCCGAGATTGATGATAGCTTCAAGGTGACATGTTTCGATTCCTTTTAGCGTTGTTTGACTTCACAACAACGTAAAAATAAATGGTCGATGATATGGACACATTTTTATTTAATATAAAATGGCAGCTTGTTTCAATTAGTGGCCGCAAGAACAGCGTTAGGTCGCCTCGCGTATTTTAGGTTGATACAACGTGTTTTTCTTGAAAAAAGGCCTCCAGTATAATTTTTAGGACGCTGTTGGTGAAACGCTCTTATTTCCTGTATGAAGAAAATTAGATGGTTAAATAACTGATTGTTACAAATGTGAAAACATAGTGAGTAGGTTTAGTAATAAATAAATAAAGCACGAATGCTTACTTGCAGTTGAGTGTATTTCCATGAGTATAAAACCTCAAAGGGCGCTCGTTTAATTTTCAATGTTGGTCTTCCATCCTCTTCAGAAATACGTTTACGATAACCCAAAGTGGAATTATTTGAGAAAATTGGCTTGAACGATGTGGCAATGTGGTTTGCTGAGAACAGAACCTTCCAAAAAGGCTGAAGTCCAATAGCCAAACCAATATTCCCCCTCCCAAAATTGATCCAATTTGGTGTTGAAGAAGTAACGAGCAAAAAATTGTTAACATGGGAATTTGAGGCTTAAAGTTAGTAATGAACAGAGTAAAGGATAGGTGCTACTGATATTGTTATCCATTCGTTAGCGCACTCTGATTGACGCAAATGTCCCAGTGAGTCCTAACGAAGAAATAAAATTGCGTTTTGAGTGGCCTACTTCAACCCAATATTCCCTCATGGTCGCCGCTGTTATGCTATGCCACAACTAAATTCTAGCTACCAGTCTCCACACGATCGAGTGGTCATTTTAAAGTCCTGTCAATTCCGCTGCCCAACGGTATGTTATTTGTGTTATGGGATGCGTTGTGTAATTGTGGCGGGAGAAATAAATATGGCTTCCGAGTTAGCTGATTTTTCGCGCATTATGGTCTTCCAAATCAAGTACTTCTCATCCATAAATAAAGGAATCCACACAGAGAGTTCAATTTAACTTGAACGGCAGCCCGAGAGTTTTACAGAGGTTGATAGAGATGATGGAAATGTTCTCAATATGGCTGCGACAACAAGGGTTGGAATGGACAGTAATTAGCTACCAGCAGAATGAGAGATTTTCAGTGATATCGATGTCCAGGTGAAGGTAGGTGTGACTGTTCGGTTTATTATATGCATCAATTAGCAAACAACCACTGGTAATTAGGTTTTAGATTTGCGAACTAGGATTTCGATTGTAATTAGTCTGTGCATGTGACTGGGCTTTGTAACTTCATTTGTGAAGTGATCCCTCGATGAACATTGATCGTCAAATACCATCGTGAACCACCAGACAAATTATTCCACAGTATTTACCACGCCTGATCAATGTTCAACTGATCACGTTTTTCTCTTCATGCCTAGATTATCAATTTCAAAGCTGTATCGTGCTCATGTACAAAACTCTGAAAACTTTGGTTTATCTTAACCCTTTGACTCCTAATAGTGACTAGCATCTAATTTCTCCGGACAATATCACCCCCGAATCACTTATTAAGGTCATGAGAATAAAGGAAATGATCACCAATTGGACAAACTCTCTGTGTCAACACCTTAGAAAATGTATAGAGATCATTATGGAGAATATGCATACTGATGTTAGGGAGTAAAGGGTTGGTTTATTTTCACACTCCTATGTATGTGGAAGCATAGAGTAAGTTGAAAAATTTTGGATTATGATGCTCCTTACCCTGACCAAGAAAGCTTTTTCAATCTCTGGTTTGTTCCTCGTGTCTTGGATGACTGATCTTATTGAGGGGTTTTTAAGGGGTTGCCCTTTTCCCATGTCATGTAAACCTTCCATTTGTAAGATCTGGTATCCTGAGATAATTTTTTGATAATTATTGAACTAATAATTTCCTGGTACATATATCTTCAAGAAGTTGTTTTATATTTTTTTTTCCATTTCTCATCTGGGGTGTCTGCTTGATATAAAGGTGGGCAACTGTTGTTTATATCCAACAGCAGTTAAATGTTTAAATAAAATGCAAGAATTTATTTTTGAAATACAAAATTTTATTTTATAAAGCTATTTAACAAAATTAATGGGACAACATTATTTGTTGTATGATCCATCCTACTCAATTGTTCAAAGCAAATGATTGAAAAAAATGTTGCAGTGTGAGACTGGCCATTGATTTTTATTCAGTAAACTAAAATTCTGATTTTTTTAAGTCAGACAGAATAGGGTTTTCATCTGTAGCAGTGCACTGGTCCTTACTCTTCAGTTCAAATTGTAAGTTCTATACATTCAAAAATCTCCTGAATATTTTTGGCTATTTAACACTACAGATTACTCTTTCACGGTTGTTGAAATAATAGGGCAACCAGTGTACTTCATGGTCTACTCTGAAAAATGAGCCAGCCATTCTGAATTCTTTGAGGTCTTGCAGCTCCCAGAGCCCATGCCTGTAGAGAGACCTTCAACCTGTAGTGCTGCCTACTCTTCTAATATTTTTTACAACCCTATTTTGTGATAAGAGAGTTTGGCTCAGCATAGTTTTATAGGTTAGTTACACATAAATAAGACCAGCTAGAGCTAACAAAATTTACTGTGTGTAGCAAGTCAAAAATGACTTGTCCATGGTTTTCATCCTAGTTATTGGGATTTAAGTTTGAGATAACTAGTCTAAAATGTGATCAAAACAGTGAACTTCTTTCTTTTCTTGGGATAATCAAGTCATACATTGTATACATTTGTGAAGTTCTCCCATAGTAGCTAAGACAACTCTTTAGCAAGCATATTTTGGCAGCTAAACAAGTTCTCTGCTTTGATGGAAATGCCATCAACATTGATTTTATAAACTCTCCTGCTATAACTTTGTCAAGTGTGATTTCATGCCGTCAATTAAGTGCTATAAAGCATGCAAGTGTCATCTCATTTTGCATCACGTGAGAAACACGAGACTGCTGTGCATGATAAGAAAAGATCATGCTGAAGCAAATACAAAACTTGCAACTTTGATCAAGAAAGTCTTGAAAGTATTGTCCTTGAATTGGTTTCAGGTATTGCAAATTCTCTACAAATAGCTCGGTAGGCTATCAAATTTTAATTCAGTGGTTAAATTGAGAGTGTTCGCTGTTGATGTGACACTGTTCTACAATAATATATTACTGATAGTAGCCATCTCCTCCGTAATAGTTGCTTGAGTCACCATACCACTCTTGCTGTTGTTGTTGTTGTTGTTGTTGTTGTTGATAAGGACTATCCATTTCATGTCTGTATTGCTGTTGGTACCCCATACTGACATCCCTGTTGTAATAGGAGTCAGGGTACTGGTTCTCATACCCGTGAGAGTACCCCTGATTAGGGTCCTGCCCATATTGTTCATAGCCGTAATGGCCGTCATGACTATACTGCTGTTGGTACCCCTGGTGATAGGGTTCAGTAGTGTAACCTTGTTGGTGCCCGTACATTTCCGACCCATAATGTTGCTCCTGCTCGTAATGCTCCCCCTGGCCATAGTACTGTTGCTGAAGTTGTTGATGTTGATCGTAGGGTGGTTCTTGACCGTAACTTGATTGATACTCGGGCTCAGAGGTTTTATGAGACTGCGAACTCTGGAAAGCTTCATGGAGTTTCTTACCAAAATCTGGCGCATTGCCACTCACCGCTATTTTCCTTTGGTTTGTTTGAGAGCCACTGGTGCCTTGTCTCTCCCTCTGTCCACCTTGTTGCTGTGCGCCTTTCAATGGAGAGCCTTGTTTTCCACCAGCGAAACTCTGTAGAGGTGACTGTCCTTGCTGGCTTTTGGCTAAACCCTGTGCACCCTGAAACATAGATTGTAAGTTAACGACGCAAGATTAAATCCAGTCGCGACGTGGTTTCTTGCATTTTCCTGCGCTTTGGGAAATTTGCTGGATTTTAGTTTGAGTTCTCATTGGTTCTTAAGAAAGTTTTCCTTTCTTCTGATTGGTCGTCGTGATAACTTTGGTTTTGGTGTTACGACACTCAGTCGAAAAGCGCCCTAATATCACGGAATTTAGGCCTAAAACCAGGACTCGAAATCAGCGCCCGCGTATCCACAAAATGCGAGTGTTTTTGACTGTTTGCGAGTGGATAAAATATCCTCTAGCAAACGTTTCCGAGTAAGGATCATTCTTGTTTGCTAAACATTTCGAGAAAGCTGTTTGAGCGCATGAAAGAAAGTGTTAACGACATTTGATCCTAGAAGAGCACCTTTGTGTTTTAATGGCAAGCGGTATCACGCCGAGTCAATGATTCATCCATCGGCGCTTTGGCATAATGTTGTTCCACGTGCTTAGAGACTTTCCAATTTCCAGCCCGTTAAGCTCCACGCCCTGGAAATTAATAGGGACCCAGGGACCCTTAAGAGCGGTTGTGATATGTGTCATGCGATTTAGATAGGTACCTTTAAAGCAGGAACTCGACTGGGTCCCTGGAGCAGAGGCATCTTCTCTGATAAAGACGCTGCTCCGTCCTCACAATCATTCGGGTGCAGGTCCCTCCAATACTGGTCTAAAAACTCCCCTAGGTGCTCGCAAGCGTCCTCAAAGATGGCCTCATCAAGAACCAAGTCAAACATTTCCTGCATGAAATATGAAAAGAATTAATGCAAATACACACTGGTAACGTCTAGAGCTACATTAATATTTTAAGAAATTGTAGGTGACTTGAAACCCCTTCGCACAGTTTTGTTAAGTTTACGAAAGATGTATCTTAAGAAAGTATATCATTACTTGATAGTGAAAATCAGAGTGGTAGATTGAAGGTTTGAGTCATAGGCACCTATCATTAATCCTTTACACCCCAATGTCAGTATAGATATTTTCCATGCTGTTCTTCATACATTTTCTAAGTTGTAAACAAGGAGACTTTGTTTAACAAGCAAGATCTTCTTTAGTTGGTGATCATTTGCTTTATTCCTGTGACCTTAAGGAGAAACTGGATGCTAGTCACTCTTAGGGTCAAAGCGTTAAGAGCGTTTTAGAAAGTTATATCCTTTCTACAGCTTGCATACTCGAATATGAAGAAGCCTTTCAGCCACCTACATATTCCCTCAACCTGTTGTGGAGAATTACGTTGCACACCGTCATCGTAGTACAGTGAGAGAAAGAAAAAAAGAAAGAGCTGAAAACTGTTTGGAGGCAACTAAAATCTGTCTCACCTCGTTACACTGTGCCAACTTCTGAGCAGCAACGACTTGAGCACCAAGGTTTTTTCGTTTAGATCCGCGTAGCTTGACAAGTTTTTCCAGAATCTGTGGTTCCATTTTGATGTATACAGCGATTGGCGCCAGCGAGCAGTCCAATAGCTGGGACGGATGATTGATGGCATCGCAGTCGATCACAACCATGTTAAGACCCTTTGTTAATTCATATATACGCTCTACTTCTTTCTGCACTTCGGCTGTTGAAATTTTGAAAAGGAGCTTGCTTTGAGCGATTATTTTAACAAACGTATGGTAGCAAGATGGGTTTAAGAACATAACCGCATTTCACGAGGGTATCAACCTCATTTTACTTTATTGAAGTATGGTACTTTTTAACTTTCCCTTCACGAGTTGTTCTGGTAAATTTACCTGTCATTCGTGGACCTCCTGTCTTTGTGATATTAAATCTTTCTTTCTCTGAGGGATTATTCTTTGATCGCTTTGACAAACCAATGTCTGCATGAGTTCTATACACTGATATTCTGTAAAAACAAGTGATATGTTAGTAATTTTATTGGTTTTCAAATTTGTTCCGCAACAGCTCAGAAAAGTTTCATAGTATGAGAGTCTAATAGAATCAAAGCTTGTTGTTGTGTTTGTTTTTATTTGATTGTTGTTTCATTTTAAATGAACAAAACAGAACCAAACCTGGTGGTGATTCTATTTGTAAGACTGATGTTTTAAAATCTAAAATGCTACCACTGAGCATTTCCAGTGTCATTTTCCCGAAAGGCGTCTTAAGTTAAATGAAATGTTGACCGCAATTTGACAGTGAAATTCCTCGGAAAATATCCAAGAAAGTAGTTCAACGCCACAGTTGCCACTTAAGAGGGTGGCAGCCATTTAAAATTTCATCTCCTAAGATCTGATTGTTAATTCTCTCCTAACTCTAACCGTTACACATTTCCTGGTAGCTTAGTTATGATAATTTGGTTTGGCAAATTATTGACTTACTTTCCACTAAATCTCTTCTTCAAAAAGTTGTAGAGAGCTCTATGCATAAGATCAGTAACCTGCAAAAGTGACAGAAGTAAACATGTTAACTTGTATTTTTTTTTATTTCCAAGAAAAATATTACGCAATAGTAAAGAACATCGCCTAAATCGGTGTTTAAGTATGTGTAAGCTCCCTGAATACAATTGAGTCATGGGCTTTTAGGCCAACTCTACCGGATTATTTTCAGGTAAAATCCAGTTTTCTAATTTTCTGACTTATGTCCTAGGTATTGTCTCAAAGTCCACCTTAAAGGTTGATTAACCTTAAGTTTAACTCGTGAGAAATAACATGTTTTTGCCGCCTACATAAAATGCGCACTAAAGCTACGATTGCTTTTGCATTTTCTTGACAAAGTGATGCTGGGTCTTGCGACCCAGAAAGATCACAAAAGTGCTTCCCAAAACACTGTACCACAAAAGTGCCACCTTCAAAGGTCATGGCAAGCTGATGGAAACCTCATTACAAGTGCTCTAAATTTGACAGGAAAAAGAAAGGCCATTTGAGGCGGCAGCAGAACCATAGTATCAGACAGAGCACCGTGATGCGTGTGTCCTTTTAAATCGCAGCCTAGTGTGTTAGGTCTTTTTGTGCTTTCGTCAATTTTCGTCGCGAAAGTTCGGACGCCCCGTTTTAATTCGAAGGCAGTATACACACTTACCTCGTATCCTCGGAGCGAAGGCCCGATGACGATGATAGGCCGAGTAGCAGGAACGACTTCGTAAGGTGGGAAAGAGATCTCGCTCGATGAACTCATCGACCCCTAAACGACAAACGCCAAAAGGTTTAGGAATATTCCTAAAGTGACTTTCGTTTACGGGAGAGTGTTTGAAACAAGTTATGCATCAAACACATACCACTGTTTCTTAAGGAGCTTCAACAACGACATAGATTAACATGTCTGCAACTTAATCTTCTACTCTTAATTTTCTTTTCTTTCCTTAAATCCTCTTTGGCCTGCCACTAATCTTTCAGTATGCTTTCATTTCGTGATACTTGCCTCATAAAAAGGATCCAAACCCTTATTGCCGAGTCTTATTGAAGACTTTTTTCTGAATGCCATCTTACATCACTACTTCTGATCAGCTATTTGAAGTTTTATGCCACCCAGGGAAATTCATTTTCTTGTTTTTTCATTTTCATCAGATATTATGGTTAACCGTCGTTAATAAATCAAACCGCAAAAATAATCAATTAAAAATTTCCGTCAAAGGCTACCCCTCTCGTGGTGTATCTTCCGCTGGAAAACGATCTAGAAGCGACACAAAATCAAGTGAAAAACTATGGAAGAATCGAATTTTTTACGTTTAATTTTTGTTTTTTTGCTTATTTAAATTACTGTCCATTAAAAGTTGACAAGGGAAGGATATCTTCATCACGCTCACAACATGTCTAAGTTGATGGATGTAAGTGGAGATAAAGTTTCCTAATTGAAGAAAAATCTAGCTAAACTTATGATTATTCGCGCAGTTATTTGTTTGAAAAAAAAAATTCATTTTTTTTATTTGAAAACGTACATTTGAAAAAGTGTTTTCCTTTCCTTATTTTGAAACTCATTCCAAACTGGTTCTCTCTCAAATCGGGTGTTTGGTACAGGTCGGGAAAAAAGAAACCTTCAAACGTTAGAAATGTCTTAATTTGATTTCTTGAAAGGTCAAGATATATGTTTCATTATTCCTTCGAGCGACACAAGTGCCAATGTCAAGAAACTTGGTGCGTTCTTAACAATCAAAACATTCGATTTCCGTGCTTGCATTTTCAATGTTTAAGTTTTTTATGTTTGCGTCATTAGCAAAAGTCAGACTTTAACAACAACTAAACAGCGAAATTACCCTGAAAGATATTAAAACCAAGGTTGATTCACGTGCCGTCGACGGTGGACCAGTGAGCTTGTAAAAGAAGGAGAAGCTTTTGCGACCACGGAACTCACTTCAAAAAATTACCCGAGTTATGAATAAATTAGAAAGTATAATACAAGAGAAGGTCGAATCTCTAAAGAACAAAGATAGAAGCAAATCATAATAATAATAACACATCTGGTAAGGTTACAATTAGGACACAAATGTCATAAAAGTTTCATAACCGACAAATTGCCTCATGTCGGCGCACACTGTTTCATGAAGAAATCTTCATGTCGAACAATCAGTGTCGACAACTAAACGTATGATGTATACGAGGTCAAGCTGGGTACGAAGTTCTCTTCATGTGGAATTCGTTCAGTTTCTTTTTTTTAATGGAAATGTGTTATCACTTTTCATGTGTTGTAATTCAAAATACAAGTGAGCTGATCAAATAAAATAAGGCCAGGCTCGTTTACATACCCTCGCTTTCTTGACGCTGGACCGCGCTTTCGTTAAAGATGGTTCAGAGAAGCTTTCTCCTAGATGCTGAAGAGTTACGCTGCTGTCGCTTCCGTCGTTTTCAAGCAAAGTGAACACGCGGTTGGTCGAGAAACTAAACGCTCCCTTTTTCAACGGGAGACAGGAAGCGCGCGTCATGACGAACAGGACAAGCTTCGTGCCCAATGCCTAATTCATGCATGTTTTTGATTTTGTCGAGAAAACATCAACACTGAAAGAACCGTTTAGTTCGAGTAAGTACACTACGCATTTAATTGAATTAATGCCGTCAAGGAGTCAGAGGCAATTTGAAGCGACCTGTGGCCAATGGAAATTTCTGGCAGCGACTAATAATTTCTCCGAGAAAGGTGTGAAGGCATAATTACTAAAATGTAAAAAGTTCTATTCGCTTCATTGGATCAGGAGAAACTAATTCCAAACGAAGACGATGAAATGAAATTTGCCGCCCACTTAGAATGAAAAACATGAAATGTCACAAATCTGAAGCTCCTAGCCGTATTTTGTCTTTGGCGACGCGATATTTTGGATTTTTAACTCTGGTTCAGTTTGTTGTATGAGGACCGTAGTCCTTCGTATCGCGCGCTTATTTTTATATTTTGATTTTGTAAATTATTTAACACTTTGGCTTAAAATTCCCTTGACCCTATTGGAAAATTTTGTTTAAATATGATTATCTGTGATTCAAAGCATATTCCAAAACAGCAAATTTCATCAACCTTTTCGCTGGGATTGAAGTGAAAATACGCAGTTGTTATTAGTTTTTATATCGAGCGTTTCATCATAGGAAGAAGGCGCCATTCCTTAAGTTTTCGTAAACGACTTATAGTAATTGGTCCTCTTTTTGCGAACAGAAATCCTTGACACCACTCTAAAGCTTAAGATTCTTCAATTTTGCCTTCAATTTTACGTCGTATCTTGCGTCAATTTTCTTTTCCTTTGGAACTGATGTTCTTGAATTAGACGACAGGGACTCTACTCTTAAGCTTCCAGACGGAAAAACGATTACAATAGACGTAAAAAAACTTCTCTAACTTATTTACCGTCGCAAAATTTGACAGGTCCGTCTGAGATACGACTTCGATAAGATAAAGGTAAAATTTAAATGAATCACCTTATTTTTTTTCATATTTGTTTAGAACTGCATCGAAAAAGCTAGAAAAAAGCTTCCTTTGAAATATTAATATACTTGTTTCCTTTGAATTGCCATTGGCTGAGAACAAATTATAATATTAGATGTAGTTTCCTCTTTCTTGAACTTGAACTTGAGTGAGACAGATCGTTTAAAAGAAAATTGAAGATAATAAAAAAAACAGTACATTTGGTAAGAATTGTACCATATGTCGTCACATTTTGTCGTAGTAATAACTATAGCTATTCATTTTTCAGCTAGCCTTGTACATATTTACATAACATTCCTACTTTTTCTCGCTCTCGAGGTAGTGATGCATTGTTAATGCATCGCGCACGCGTGGTTTTCCCTTACATAAAAATCAAAGACATTGGAAGAAAGTACACCTCTTTTTGTTTCCATGGCTTTCACAGCGAAATTCTAACAATATTTGTAAATGACGTGTTCTTCAAGCTACTGTTTCTAAATACGATAAACATAATTCCCCCAAGTAGTGTGGTCAGTGTAAAAATTTAATGAATCAAACATATCGGAGAGGTTTATAAATTCGACTTTAAATTCTCTTAGTAGTTGAAGCAGAAAATTTTCCTTAGTGACTTCTAACGTACACGAAGTTTTTTTTAGAAGATTAGAGGTTTGAAAACTTGCACTCAGTTTATGTGTTAGATTCAACTAATATACCCGTGTTGATAGAATATATTGCTAAAATTCGTTAATTAACTGTCTTATTTTGAGAGACATTTTGTTGTCAAGAAAGTTTATGTGATAAACAACAACCCGACACATTTATGGAAATTAATTTTTCTGTCTCACAAAAACATTTTTGTGGAAAAAAATCTCATGAATAGAATTACGCAAAAAATGTGGATGTAAAATTTGACAATAAAAAGTTAAGATTTTCAAAACCAACTGACAAAAGATAACACGCTCTACAGTGAATTGATCGTTCAAAAAAATCGTAATCTATAACGGTTACAGCATACTTGCTTCGAATTACAACATAAATAGTTGGAATGCTATGTTGTGGTTCTAATTTTCAAGAAACAAGATCTGAATTGATAATCAAGCAGTTTTGCAAGTAGAATCACGAAGCTCGTTATTAGTAAAATCTCCCTGGAAACAAAGTTCAGCGAGGATATCTATTTTACTCAATTAATTTTATTGATAGCTACCTGTTATCGGTTATAAATGTCGAGGCTTTTAGTTCGCAGCTTGTCGTTTCTTTTAGGGAGTTGTGTTGTTCTGTTAGAAGTCTGCAGGGGCAAAATCGCTCGCAATTCGTTTGAATAGGACTGTTATTTTTCTTCTAACATACTCTTTGTTTTGCTTTCAACTATTTCCCGATTTAAAAATAGAGTTTTAGAATTTCTCAAAACACAATTTTGTCACTGTCATTATCTAAAGTGTTTCCCGGACACGTGTCATGCTGAAACTACGCTTATCGTAAACTTGCGCGCGAAACATTTTTAGAGTCGTTTATTATCGCTGTTAGTTGAATAATTAAGTGAAAGTATTTCAAATAGCTACTATTAATCACTTCTTTGAGGAAAAAAGGAGAATAACGTTCAGAAATACCTTTGAAAAATTTCTCGGCCGAAACGCTGCCTGTGTGGTGAAGGTGGCGTTTCCAATGAATTTATGAATTCCAGCGACAACATCTAAGTCCATATTAAACGTCGTTTGTAAAGGAGTAAGACGAAAGCTTAGTATCGATAACAGCATGGGCCGAGGTCACTCAAACCTTACTCATTAGCCAACATAAATAAAACTGAAATAGTCACCTTTCATTCGCTATTTTCCGTTGTGCGTCTGTAGTGACACAGAGAAATACTTCGGATCTCTTTGTGTTTCATCGGACAGATACGTTTGTTTTGTTTTTTTTTTTCATGGCATAATTCATGATTACACGTTGTCATAGGCAAAAACAAGGAAAGGAAACTTGCTATTCAGCATATAGACTATTTTTATCCTCTCATTGTCGGAGGTATTTAATTCCAATGACTAAAACAGGACCGAATCGACGAGTAATTTTCTTAGCTTCCTAAAAGCCAAATACAAATTGCATTTTCTACTCAAAATCTTGGGTTGGTATGCTTAATAATATATAGATTTTGCCAAGCCGAAAAGCGGAGCTACAGTTGGTTTATTTTGGTTTATTTGGTCATTTTGAGAGCTATAAAAATTGCTTCAAATATTTTCTTTCAAACTTTTCGCCATTGAATTCTTAACATTTAATTTAAAAACATTTTGACAGTAGATTGAAGTAATACTAAGCCATTAAAAGCGATGCACCTATTCCAAAGGATAAGAACCATTTGTGTAATAAGTGTTACAATGCTAACTATCAATCATTTTTCACTCCATTAAAACGCATTATTTTACTCTCATTTTATGTGTGATAGCTCATTAAAATTACCCCTCAATAACTAAGTTCTCCATTTTTTTATGCCAATCAGTGGCTTTTCATGACTTTTGCCTCAACACACGTGATACCCCAGATAATAACGTGGCATTTTGTTGTCATTTTAAAGCATCTTGACAGTCCCCTGACAATGAATATATTAACTGAACTCCTAAACCAGCCGGCATACCTATACAAAATTATGGTAACACCTGTTTCATAATCATGCACTGTGAACAGTTCATTCTTCCAGTTTTTCGTCGATATGATACTACCGGGACCAAATGAGCATCGATTTTAATGTAACATTTCTGTCTGGTTTTGTTAGTACAAAAAAAAGTTTCTTCTTAGTCAATTTGAGTGATCATTGTTTTGCCTATTTTCTACAAGTTGTGGATAGCAGGAGAGTAAAAGAAAAGTCAAAATGTGTTAAAGGAATGGGAAGAAGTAGAAAGAAATAGAACAAATGAATAACTCTTAGTATGTGTAAGGTTAATTCACTCGAACACCACTTCGAACCAAATGTGGTTGTGCAAGAATGAAAAGACAAAAATAAGAACAAGGTTAAGTAGTTTAGTTCTTTTGTTAATGAGCCATAATTATAAAGTTTCGCAATTTTCCATTCACATTTCCTTCTATTGAATTATGAATAAGCTGTCAGGCAAGATTTCGTGGGAGATGATGACTTCTTGCGCAAGCAGACCAATTGTGATTATTTCTAGGAATAATCTTGCAATTACATGCTTGCATATATGAATCTGCATAACACACAGAACTGTACATGCGATTGTTTAATAAGTAATGCAAAACTTTTTAGCTGTACAATCCGTACATCATGATGAAAATTTAGGTAGGGAACTTCTATATGCATAGCTGTAAGCTCAATATCTCTTTGAAATTGTTGTAATAACTGCATGGAAGAGACAGTCATAGAAATTCAGCTAGATGCGAAATATTTGTTTTGCGCTTAGGTAACTTTTTGAATTCTGGAAAACGATGATGTACCAGAGGTTTCATACAAAGTCGGTTATCAGCGGACTACCTCCGCCTATAAGACCTCTCACTGCCGTCTGTTGAGCCAGCGAGCACGCTCTCGTGTTTGGATTTCACCTTAAGGCATAGTCGCCTGTTACTCCATCGCCAGCCACATGTAGAAAAAGTTGTTCACCCCCTTTTGCAAGACTTCTCCTAGAATTTATCAAAGAGTTTCCTGTCGAAAACTTGCCGAAAGCAACGAAAGGTTAAAAAGTAAATTAGTACGAGCACAAACATGCCACCAAAAGTTAACACGTTTTGACTCCCCTATAGCGTTCAAATCACATATTTAAGACAAAATAAAATATATACATCATTTGTTTCCTAGATTAATATTCTAAGATTCTAAATGATAAGATTTATCAGAGTTAAAAAAGCAACTTCTTTGTTTGTTACCAAATTACGCTTTAACAAAAACCTGAAATCAGTACAATGTTTATCTCCTAGCTGGAAGTAATTTTCCATAGAAGCATTCAGAGAACTGAAATAACGGCTTTGATATATTTTCATTTGCGGTTTATCAACTTGAATTAAATGTACTATGCGTCTGCAATTGTCTAATTGAAATACAATATTCTGCCTTTGGCTCACTGAATTAAATTCAGCAAGGATGTGGTTACATCAGACTAATGCATCTAACTAAAAATAGCTAAAGAAAGGAAATTTGAACACCTCCCACGAAATTTCTACAGATAAGCGTCATTTTGAGAGGAATATAAGGCCCATATTCAAGCCTATTCTTAAAAAATGAATCCTTTTAGGCAAATGAATGGTAAAATTCGGTTCCTAGAAGCATGTTGCGTATGAACCGTAAGCGTGTGAGAGTGTTAATTCCGACGCGCCATTACAAAGTCAGAGATCCCTTTTTAAACCATTGGGTGCCAATGGCTTTGTTTTAGGGACGTGCGACAACAAAATTTCAATAAGTTATGGTTAAAGAAACAGCAAATGAGTTTCTGTCGGTTTTCAAAGAACTACCTTTCAATCTAACCTGGATTCGATGTTTGGTAAATGCTCGAAATTCCTCGTCACTCATAGCTAACTGTTAAGAGCGAGTTGCTTTCGGTCGATTCCTCGAGTGTGTGGGGTTTTTTTTTATGGAAATACATTAAAAAAACTCAGCAGCAGGTTTTAACATCCCTAATTTGATCCTCTGTTTGTGTGACGTAGGCAATATGGATTGCTTAGCTATCACATAAAAGGACTATGCCTAGAAACCTCTCGAATAAATTAAACCAAAATGACAAGTGTAACAAACCAATCCCCGACAAAAAACTAGTTTTGTGTCACAAAACATGCCTCTTTTTTGATTACATGTTTTGAACCAAGATCTAATCGAGAAAATATTCCTCTCGATGCGATGCTGAAATGTGTTTGGTATGGCGACCCCCTGGCGAAGACGCTAAAAGTTAACGAATACATTCTGTCGGGCCGTCTCCTGTGTAAACATTCCAGAGGAATCTTAAAACATGTTGAAAATGTAAGCTTTATTGACTAAACTTTCAGTGTGCGCTTTTAACACCGAGTGTCAGCGAAGCCGTCGGAGAGGAAGCGTATCTCGTCAATTTATTGACTTAAAACACCTGCTAGACTGAATTTAATCCAAGGCTCGCTGCGCTACTTTGTCGACCCAACTCATTTACCTGTGCTTTAGATTTTAAATGCAAAATACTGCCAAATTGTTTTTCCCTTCAGTTCATAATTAGGAATGTTCACAGCTGGGAGGTGGCGGCGTCTAATAAAGAAATTTATTCTGGTTGGTCGAGTTGAAACTGGCTCCCTTTCATGGGTTTGTGTGAAACTCAAAACATCGAGTTTAATTTTATTCCACCCGTGTAGGAAAACACAACCGGAGCACGCATCGATTTTCTTTCATCAGCTGAAAAACGAATGTCGTAATTCGAAGAGATATTCGATACTCATTTAATCTGAGATTCAGATTTAGGATTATTTGCTGACCTTAGACATATTCTGGTAGTCAGTTTTCGATCTCTAAAGTATTATTTTTGTGAGCCACCTTTGAGTCAAACGTTAAATTTTTCTGAAGCTCTTTATTAAAGCTTTATCTTTCTAAAAGGTAGCTTTTTAACTGCGCAATTTACAAACTAGATTAAGCGACCGCAAAAAGCTTATCTTATGAAAAACGCTGTAAACTGTAATATCCCAAAATTTTACCCTCCATTTTGAATTTAATCGCGTCCGCCAATAGCGAAGTTCGGCGCGACCTTTGGTTCAAATACATTTTCAAAATTCTAAGATATCGTAAATATAATATAACGCGAAAGTAAATTATGTATTTCTTTGATCAGGAGAAGAATTGCACGCTTCTACATACAAAAACATTTTTTTTTTTTTGGAACTCGCTATTTTCCTTTGATAAATTAAGAATTAGGCGACCACATTTTAGTCGAAAACAATCGCCACTATATCTGTCAAGCACGTTTATATTCATGACGAGTGTTGAAATTTTGAAATATTCAACGCCACTCCGTTTTTATCATTTCCCTCGCTTTTTTTATTCCTGGTTTACCTGATGAATTTGGTGTAGCATTTTGTGGCTATGCTAGATGTCAATTGACTATTTGTGCCTCATTTCGTGCACTGAATTTCACAAAATTTGATAAACCAGAATGTAGCTATTTCCTGTTTCCTCTTTAGACGCACGTTTTTCTGGAGGATATATGAGCGCTCCTAAAAAAATTTAACCAGACAACTAATCACTGGTAAATCCCTTTCGGGCAGAATCTTCTGTCCTCGAATATTTCAGTATATTCATCTTATTAGTTCATTTAAGAACAAGTTGAAAATCATAAAATAATGCATTTATTTTTCTTAGTTCCCCAACACGCGCCAGATTATTCCGGTTTTTTGCCCGGTCGCATTCCCTATAATCTTCCCAGAATGAAAGATCAGCCATTGAGTTTTGGTCCGTTGCCAAATCGTTTCTGTGGACATCGAATGTATTCTGTTTCTGTGCAGCATTTTGTCACAGTGGGTGACATGTGAATGAACTGAATTTAGCAGCTTTTTTATTCGAAGTCAATATGTCGAGATCATTTTCAAACCCGACAACACTGTAATCCGTCCTTAAGTGTTATGGGCGAAAGAAACACCACGAGACATTTCTGCCTGGTTATCAATTTTTTGAAGACTTTCCTATTTAGAAACTAAACTATAAATAACTGAGCGAGATCTTGTCATGAACTTACCCTTGTTATCAAACTGCGTTTTTGGGTCGTTTGATCGAATCCATCGAATGCATTAGCAGCTACTGAAATCATATTTATCCCAAGATGAAGCTAAAATACTCCTAGAGTTAACTACGTTTCATTCCAAAATTGTATCCCGTTTATACACGCGACAGTACGGCCATAATCTTCCGCTAGAAATTCATTGATCAACAACGAACAACTGTAGACATCTGCTATGACAAAAATTAAATATTCATGACGCAATTTCGAGTGGGAGATTTTTTGTCATTTATTATGACTCCTGCATGGTTGATGATCCAATTTTTAATTGTCAAATCGACGTATCTTTCGGTCCGTTCATTCATGTCTTCTCAGTTGTTTGCCTGGTAGAGAGAGCAATGATGTTTCCACTTAGCATTTGGATGAGTTTCGTGTTGGTTTCGGCATCAAACAAACAAACTGTTTCATTTTGTATCGCCCTTGTTGACTATTTATGATGTAAATTTACTTGCCATAAAATCTTCATTGAGTAGTTTATGTGCCAAATTGCTTTTGTTTCTGCATTTGCTGAGTTCCTCGTCAATATCGAATCACTGATATTGAATTTAAACTAAAACCTACCAATTTCTCAAATATTCAATTTTTTTTTTCAGTTCAAGTTCTACGTATTTAGCGGTACCTTGGTGTGGGAAGTTCATTGTTCAATGATTTTATTTGAGTTATGTAACTAACTTGTGAATATAAATTCCTCCTAATTCCCTAAGAAGAGCGTACATGAATGTCAACTAAGATCAAGAACCGGAGACATATTCACGCCAGTTTTAAATGGATTGCAAGCTGGCTTTGTCCATATTGTCAAATTGTGAATTATTTAAAGCTTAAAACAAAACAACAATTCATTACTAAGAGCGTGAGTTGAGTTTTTTTGTCTCGCTAAAATTCCTTATTAACTGAGTAACTCACGAAATATTTAGTATGGTTGCAGATTTCATATTCATAATCGGATTTTCGTAGATTTTGTCTTTCGTGTATGTTAAAACGATCGCGGCGGTTGTTTACATCGAAGAGACGAGAAGCAATTAACAGGTTTGGGAAAGTATTTAGCTGTTACGCCGGTAAACTAAAATGTTTTCAATACACCATATCCAATTAGTGTTTTTGATTTGTAAATCAAGCTTTAGTAAACAACTCAGAACATTCCATTTATCATGTACCGGAAAGACACTCACCAAGAGCTACGTTAAGCATGTTGAATATAACAATGTATGTACAGTGCGGAACGTTTAAAAATTATGATATCATCGAAGAAATATCTAGAGTAAGAATCAAGGCCCTTCAAAATTTTCTGGGACGCGATAAATTTAATAACTCTTAATTAATTCTGAAGAGGGATTATTTTTGAATGAGCATCAAAAATAGCGGGGTACCTTTTAGCTTAAGCAAATTACTTTAAAATATACGAGAGGAATGTGCCGCGCGCGCGTGTGTGTTCGTGTCTGTTGTCATTGCGGCTGATCAGGATATTCTCTAATTTGAAAGCCAGATATCCATCGTGTTCAATTATCTTGAAATATCACGATATTGAGAACAGTTTACCAACACAGTGTGACTCATACGGCAGGGAAGTCACCATTTGTAGCTTATGCATGTTTCATTAACCTTTTTAGCCCAACTGGGATAAATAAGTAAACAAATGAAGTGGCAGGCCAGGGAAATCTAACATTTCTGATTAAGAGTTACCCTCACTGGCCTTGATCAAACGGTCAAATTGTCAAAGGTGAAAAAATTGAAGTCAGCCCGTAAACCGTCCTATGTCTTTCTACAAGGACTGAACCATTTAAATTCCCAGGAATGACAAAGGCAGAATTTCTCGTTATAATATCAAGCAGACAAATGATGAGGATGAAGAAGATTCCAATGACGGGATTATAAGGTAACCTTTTAACCCCTAGGGGTGACTAGCATCAAATTTCTCCTTACAATAGCAACCCTGAATCAAACATTCAGGTAACGAGTACGAAGGAAATGGTCACCAATAAGAGAAACTCTGGATTATGAAACAAATTCTCCTCATCAGCACTTTAGGGAACGTATAGGGAACAGTAAGGAGAATATGCATACTGATGTTAGGGTGGAAAGGGTTCATCCAATACCAAATCCTCTGAACTAACATCATAGTAAGCAGACAGGAAGAGATTACTGATGAGATCTTAGCAGTGATTAACAAGTAACTTCTCCCTATTGTAATCATACATTATTCAGTTAACAGGTAATGGGATTACTCAAACATATCAGGTACGAGATATTATTGTGATTGAACACTAAATTCTCAAGGAAATGTGTAACAGCTAGAGGTGAGAATTAACAATCAGATCTTGGGAGGTAAAGGGTTAAGTGACCGTTTCGAAAGACCGCAATAAACTTTCAAGTGCTTGACAAACTTTCAACAGAAGTGAAGGAAGGAGGTGAAAGTATCCTCACTACAGACAAAACAAGGTTGAAATCACGTTCATTTATATTCTATCGATGAACGACTGAAGTGAGAGCAGCATTTAAGCCCACGCTCGTGTAACGCGTTTGACGTCATTTTCACTTTTTATCAAACAGTAGATTCCATTTTGTCGTGCGATGTTTCAGTTACAAATTAGAGATGACGTCAGAACGTGGTATAAAAGCAAATGCAAGCACGTAAGCGTAGGCGAACTTGTCACTGGTGTTCTTATCGTCTTTTGAAGTCTCGTCTAATCTATAAGTAATTATACTAGTAATAGCCCTTACGGCCTTTTTTCTTATCTGGATTGTTGAATTTGACGGACTTATCGTAATATATGCAAACTTTATTTACTTGAGATTTAAACTTCCTTAAAATCTTCCTGAAAGGAAACGACACACTGTACAATGATGATACTAAACTGGTTAGCAGCACTGTTCGAACTGAAATGATAAAAAAACGTATTTTATTCTACTATGCATTTCCTCTGACGAAGCAGACTTCGCAGAGGAGTTTTTTACGGTTAAGGAAAATAAGCTTGCTTATATAAACATAGCTAATAAGATGTCTATTTTCGACCTTAATGCATAGTGTGAAGCAAGCGGAAAGTATCCGTAAGCGTTACTATAGGCGGAAAAAATTTCAATCAATACTGAATGCGGCGCGCAATCAAGAACAAATCGAGATTTTTTCCGATAAGAGTCTCATCACAGGAAGTGTTTTGAAAGTTCGCATATTTGTTTCAGCCTTTTTCTCGGGGGGGTCTTGTCAACAGGTAATGAATATATCATGACGTTTCATTTTGTAATTTCAATTTAAATGCTTCATTACCAAATTTTCATGCTGTGATTCACAGCATTCTGCCCTCTAGAATCCTATTCTTGGATTTAAACAAAGTATTTTATATTTTGCTTTGTTTTAATCAATCTATCGTCGCCAGATTTGATCGATATATTTTGATATCTTCTCTAACAGGGTCACTGGAAAAGTCCATTGCTCGCTGTTTGTTATGGCTGGACCCCCTTTGATTAATAACCATACCATAAAGCTATTTATTACTCATTTCCTGTTTAAAGATTCTAGAACACAATATCTTAAGCTTGACTCTGTTTTTGACAAGATAATTTGGTTTTATCAACAGAGTTAGTAATGTAAAGAGCTTTCGTTTCGAGCGTTAGCCCTTCGTCAGATTTTAGGACAAACTGTTCACCCTGCAGGAATTTTATGAGAACTTGAATTTTGACTGTTTTGCACCAGCCTTATCGGACCTCGTCATTAATGGGGAATATTTCTCTGCAGTTAGACATTGTAAAATTAAATTTGATGATCAAAATATTCTTGAATTGAGTCATCGAAACGTCCGGAAAGCTTTGCGAAACAAAGCTTCCCAGAACGGGAAACCACATGTAATTGTTGGCTCTCTGCCTCTTTAAAAAACCTTTATTTCTCATAATAAATAATCGATTTAAGCCAGAGGTCAAAACATAACAAGAACTTTATGCGACCATACCCACATGGGAAAAACTGTAGACTTGAAATATGAACGACGGTTTGAAGAATTGTCATACAACTGTTGCGATTCGACATTTTTATTCTTTTAAGGATTAAAATTCAATTTTATCAGTTTTCTTTTATTATTACTTAAATATTAAGTAAGACGAGAACACAATTTTCAATCAGCAATCAAACTGAAATATGATCTAAGTTCACCTTTCTGAAAATCCAATTTAGCTCTTATAGATCTAGATTTAATACTTTTTGAGCTCATTCTGTGGTGATAAGGTGAAAAAAATTGTCGATCTGAAGAGTGAATTCTTCAGCATTAATATAACATTGGTTTTTTTTTTGCTCTTTTTCGGTGAGCGTGCAGAAATCCTACAGATCTGCTCCAAGGTCACTGTTTGAATTTCCTGCCCCGTAGAGTATTGAAGTGTTTTTGTCATTCTTCATTCATTGCCTTCAATTGAGCATGACGATGGGACGCCTATTTACTCCGCTCACATAGACCAGTCTTTAAAAGAGTTGTGAATTGTTCTCATAACATAGAAGCATTTAGTGCCTCGTTAAGTCAAACTGGTCGTTGGATTGTCTTCAGTGAAAAATGAGGAACTGCATTGCTTTTTTCGTCTGTGTGATGGTCGTGTCCGCTCGAACTTATTGGCATAGGTCGAGGAACGCAGGCAAGAGAATTACCCATGTATTCTACCGTTTTATCTGAACTAATTTCATGTATTCTGTTATTAGTCGAAAGAAGGATATGATGATATGTAGTCTTAAAAAAATTTCCCGTTTAGGAGGTCTCGGTACGTAGAAAGTTTTTATGGAAGTTAACCTGAAACACTAATCAAATTGTTGGGCTAAGTTACTGGAATTGTTCTTAAGATGGCGTGCTACTAAAAACTAAATGGGGCAATCCCTTAATTATACTGAACTTTTATTCACTGCACTCTCCTTCGCGCCGAAAATTGATAACACTTCAGAAAAAACTTAAGACATTAGATGATATTCTCTAAAATTTCGCTTTTCCTTTGATTAATGAACTTTATTGCATTAATCACGACCCTCTCTTATTGCTAGAAGCACAGTTCATGTTTTTGTAAGACTAGACAGTTTTTGCTTGTTTGTTTTTATTTAACGCTTAAAGGAAGATGATAGAGTGCATGCCAACATAACATGAACCTTGCAAAATGAAACTTAGTGAGAAAGTACATATCATTTTGTCAATCTAGATCAGTTAGCAAGCCAACCGAAACTTTGTTACTATTTTGCAGAAAATTAAAACGTTTAGCAGTTTCAAGTCCTAATTTCCCACAAGTATTTCCTTTCAATTCAATGTGGACAGGAAAACGCTTGTGGAAATGATCTTCAAAACGTTTATCAGTTTGAAATCCCACTTTCCCGAGAGCATTTCCTTTCAATTCAATGTGAACAGGAAACTCCAGAGAATGTACTCTGGCCATCACCAGGGTACCTGTCTCGTTGTTGAATACAGTGCTACGATAATGTAGTGATAACTAGACCAGTTAATAGTACTTCAATACGCATTCTCCTGCTGTTCCAAGGAAAAAAAATAGAGATATGACTGATGTGCTCAGGAGTTTAGTTTTATTATTTTATATATTTTTTATCCTTTTTTTTCTCTTTAGATCCAGTGACTCCAGAGTGGGACAAGCTTTCAGGTATGGTATGTAATTTTGCGATAGAAGTAAGGGGGCAAAATATTATTTCGGTTAATTGCATAAAAACGAAAGAAATAATGATGATGAGAGATTTAAACAAAAATTTCTGATGATATTTCTTCTCCTCCCGGACGTGATGCCATACCATTGTATTGTTACCCCCCTCAGAATTTCGTCAGGTTTCCTTGACAGCTCACCGGTACCCATGTATACTCCTGGCAGGAGAGGGGCCGTGTGTAGTGTCTTGCCATAGAATGACCCCGCTAGGGCTTAACAATGGACATTTTGATACGTAGTTCAGCGTATTAACCACTTGGCAATTCCGCCTCCAATCTCCAAGAGAAAGCCAATTGACAACTTGACAGTATTCTATTGGGGATAAATCAGTTTTTCACTATTGTTACTCAGGCGATTATATAACCACTTTGTCGTACAATGTTCTACTGTGGAAACATCACAAATCGCGTAGCGGCTACTTCGTCAGTTAGCACTACTTCTGTGCCACAATTACACTTTGACTTATCGACCAATCAAAGAGCACACATCTCTATAATTACGTGGTTGGCTAAACTAAATGTGCATAACCTAAGATTAGGATAATTTACGATAACATCAAGAAAACAGGTGAACAATGCGTAACAACATTGCTTATGCTTAAACAATAGATTCGAATTAATTTCTAAAATACGCAAAAAAAATTCTAAGCTAAAATATTGCTTAGCAAATTAATTGTACGGTTCTAACCACGAACTGACATACTGCTTTCAAGTTACGTGGATGAAATGGGATGAGATTCCGCTGACAGTGAGCGATGCTGTAGCAAAAGGCTGGAGTTTGCGTGACAAATGCCAGGGTAAGTTGAAGAATTAAAGGTGATATAAAATCTATACATTATCGACTTAAAGCGAAGTCGTTTTATTAGTCAATCATTGTTATCATTCATCTTGGACCAAACGAGTGATAGACCTCTCTGTTCTATTCTACTGTATTCAATTACAAACTATGATGCCATTTTATGGCTATTTCCTCAGCTTTGCCCCTCCTCACAGATGTGTACCTCATAGAATACGTCTCTCTTCCTGTGAGAGACAAGTTCAAACTAAAGTTTTGTTATGTGATGTTCACTCCCTCGCCCCCACCCTTCCCCTTATTTTGACCGTCGCTCACCCCCTTGGTACAAATTTATCTCTCTCCCAACCTTCCGCTGCCATTAAAATCAAAGATGGCGGCCATAATTTTCGCTAATAAATACTGAGCACTCGCTCACCTGAATAACGCCAGCTCTGCGGGCTATTTTGATATAATTAGTAGTTACCCAAGTTTTGTCTCTGTTTTTTTTTTTCTCTTTTGTGTGGAAGAAAAATAAGTTTGTCGGTGATCTCTTGTGCTTCCCTCGCATCCGTTATTTGGTCACGTCATTTAACACCCTACCGAAACGAGTTTACTCTATGGTTGAAATGAAGACTTACTGCCAACTTACACCTTTGTCTATTTCTCTCTTTTTAAGCCAGAGCATATTTCCAAGGTCGTCGATACATTCGCAATGGGGACTTGACGTTGATGCTGCTATTTGATGCAAACGACAAAATTGCTGGAATTCAAACTGGAGTAAGTGTTCTGGGATCCTAAAGCTGCTTTTAGGTGTCTTTTATAAAAGAAATGAGCCTCTTCTTGTTTCTCGTTTCCTTAAGATTCCAACTTCAACTGTCTGTAAGCGAATGGGGTCGCCATGGAAGCGAGAAAACGACTCTTACGTCGTCACCGCTTATTTCAAAGATCCAAGTCTAATTTGTTCGCATAGATATGACTCTAAAGCCAAGTACTTTGGTGACAGACTTTTGATCCAAAAAAGTTCAAAGGCAAACGGATTTGTCCAGGTCCCCTTGCTGGAGCGTGGTCTATTAGGTGGAATGTGGACTAAGGGAGAGTGCTTCTGGTCGATGGGTAAGTGAATAATGTGTTTTTTTTTTTTACTTCATGTAGTATGCAATTTGACGTGTTAGGAAACGATATCAGATGGAGGCTTTGCGATGTTTGAAATTTGTATTCCATGATTACAGGGGAGGACATAGGGAACTGGCTGTAAGACCTAATGAAAAAATGGGTGGGGGGGGGAGAGGGGTAGGAAGAGAGATTTGGCATGGCGTGAAATTGCGCCTAATACAGGCGCCAATGCGACTCAATTTTTCACTTTGGCGACCAAATCCTGAAAATTAGTCGCCAAATAGGCGACTAGAATGTTTCATCATAACCTTACCAAGAGATATACTGGATTTAAAAGATTTGAAGAGATAAATCCGCGGCAAACTTCCTCGTTAAGTTTGTTTCCAAAACTCAGCACATGCATCTCGATCGATAACTATTCGATAACTAACGTTGCACACCATCCATCCTAGTGTCCAATTTGTAGCACACTAAAGATCTTTCCCCTAACTTAATTTTGGAGGGTTTATCTAGAACGTGCGTAAAAAAAGGTTTTGTTTGTCTTTGAAAATGACGGCCAACTTTTTTTGAATTGGCTACCACTTCGAAGAGTTTAGGAGCCAAATGGCTATCAGAAAAAAAAAATTAATTTCACGCCCTGTATCGTTGCCGTCGATTTTTGCTTAATTTATCTTCTTTCTTCGTTGTTGTGTTTCAAGGAAAAATGTACTGGTATGACCTGCTAAACGTGTTTGACTGCAATTCATTGTTTCCTGTATTTGTGATGTACACGAACGGAGTACTGAACGGGTTTGGTTGGATTTTACCCTTTAAACTTGACAATCCAAGATTTGTGCATCCAACAAATGTATCTTTCCCGGTAGGTACATGCTGCTGTTGTTGTTGAAAATTGCCGTGATTTTAAGTGGAAACTTTTGGGAATGTGTTAGTTTGGTATAAATGCGTTATTTTACAAAAAATAAAAGAGAAAACTTTTTTGCAAGCGGTAGAACCAAATTAAACATATCATCCATTCTTACTTGTAGTGGAATGTTAGAATTTTAATTCCAACATTCCATTAAAATGGTCTCAGATTTTCTGAAAGGGCAACTGGTAATGATTAACCATTTAACTCTTGTGTTGAGTTCTCATGTTCTCCCTACATTTTCTATCATTGTTCGTATTCAGAGGAGGTTTGTGACTTTTGCTGAAAATTTAGTCTCCAAGTTTTTTTTCTTCCAAAACGGTGGCAGCTTGGAGCACTAACATGGTACACTGTTCGTGCGATTCGTGACACCCTTTTTTCTTTATCTCTCTGTAGTATTTGTTCAAGAGAGATACCATTCCAGCCTGTTTTTGGACCGCTGATCATCTGTCGATGATGCATGTTTACCTGGATTCCAATCCCTTCTTTAACATTTGCTAGAAGAATCTTTCATTACTATTATACAGTAGCGTGCACAGTGGATTGTTCAAAAAGATCTTTGTACTATTTTCCCAGTAAAGTTATTTCTATCACTCTCCCTCTGCCTTCTCTCAACCTTCTGCTCAACTTTAAAAATTATTGTGGAGCACATTTCAAAACGAGATTTTAATAATTATGTTTTATTAATCTGTTTATTCATTATACTTCACCCTGAAACTTCAAAATTCCCTTTAAAATTTTCCCTTGTTAGAGAGAAAAGTCAACTCTGCAATGACAGTCTTTCCAGGTCACTTTCCCTCCCTTCCAGTGGCATGGAAGCCCTAAGGGTACGGAAAGAGGAGAGCTCCTAGTAAAGAGGTTGTGTCTGCAACGGCGTTATCTAAATAAAGCAGAGGTTGAGGTATGGTCTCTTGTCCAGATAGACGTGTTGCGTGGTCAATGATTTAAGGTTGGCTATGCATTTTGGCTTTGTTGCTGACAGGAAGAATCCCAGCTGGAAAGAAAAAAAAAGTCGAGAGCAATAATTAAATTTATCCCATCCTCCACTATTTTCCATTGACTGATTTCGTGTAAGTGGATCCTAGAAGTAACGTAAAAAAACTGTTGCTAAGAGTTTGCTTATCGCCAATAGCGAGCAAGATTTAAGATGTTGTAGCTTTGTGCCCTCGAGTGTTTACTACTATGCACATCGTCATAAATTTGACCAAAAGTTTCAAATGCAAAGGATTTCAGAAAGCCAGAAAAATTCTTTTCGAAAGATTCCCGCTAGTCTCGATAACAAACAAAGATTCACTCGCTTAACACAAAACTTCGTTTCCATTCATTGATCGAAACACGCAATAATGCGAAGCGTGCAGATTCTAACATAGCATAGAGCATTTGAGAAATGCATGTTACAAGGCACGCCACAGGCATTTGAGGAAAGGTATGCCACAAGCATATGAGAGCACCCAGGTCACAACACTCTAGAAAAACGCATGCTATATGCATAGGAGTGTTCACGTCACAAGCATTTGAGAAGCACACAAGCGAGCACGCACACACGGTCACCAAATATGCGCACATGTCCAAGTACAAAAGATAAAGAGGCATATTGTGTTCTTGTGACTCTGCTTACCCCGAGTCTTTTAGGAGGGGGGTGTTCGTACCGTGGACTGTCAGCATTACCAATGGCGACCCAACCAAAACCGGTCAGACGATCCCTGTTGTACAACAGAAACATCGGGTAAAAGTCTCGGCAGTCCATATCCGGTGAGATGTTGTACCAGTAATGGCGACCTGAAAAAAACCCCAAAACTGGATGTTTAATCAGATGTTAATTTGCAAAGCAGTTACTGGTTGAAATTAGTCAAAAGGTAATTTAATGTTAAACATAATTTTTCTCCCATCATCGAAAACTAACGATAAACCATTAAATTTCCAAGCCCGTAAAAAAATTGAACATATCGTGGAAAATTGATGCAATAGGCAACCCTCTCGAGGCTTGGATCTGTACGTTTATCGGCTGATGAACTTCTCTCTGACTAAGCAAGACTTCTCTGTGATTTTGAACGAGGAAGTCGCATGGAAACAAGTTACTTATATAGAAAGTAATAAAATAGGTATGACTTCGACTTACCCATGGAAGGGAAACAGCCCCCGCGCACCCACTTAGTTCCAGCCAAATCCTCTTGCTTGAAAGGAATCGACATGATGTTAGAAATCTTGTTTCCAGTCTGTAGCAAAAGTTGGTCTCCTAAGTAGGGTGTTACGGGCCTGGGTCCACTACAGATGGTTTCAGGATCGGTGAAGTAAGCTGTTATGACGTAGTTATCCCCTTCACGAATCCAGGGAGCCCGTAAGTCTCCAACAGCTGAATTGGGAATCTAAAATTGAACGATGGCTTGAGGCTTAGAGAGGCAGTTACCGGATATCGCCGGGCGATGGATGGAGGTTTTGGGTGGATTACATGGTTCTCTGGGGGAACGAAGTGGGAAATCAGTTGTCGTCAACGGTCGTCAACAGTCGTCACCGGTCGTCAACGGTCGTCAACAGTCGTCAACGGTCGTCAATGGTCACCAACGGTCGTCAACAGTCGTCAACAGATCGACAGTCCCCGTCAATAGCGGAGACTGTCGAAGATTGACAGTCAGTTACCTGCCGGTGAGGAGGACCCAAAGTAAAAGAGGGTAAAACCTAAGTTGTGTTCATTACCCCATTTTGAATTCCAGCTATCTTTCCCTTGGAATCAAAGAGAAGCATCACTGCGGTGTCTCCTTTAAGAACGTAACGATTGCCAGCAAAATAATTGGCTGCTGCAATAAAATGTAGAAAGAGGTAGCATGAGTGACCAGCGTAACTAAAAATGAAGGAGCAAATGCGCATGGCTTGCCGCACTCTTTCAAAAAGAAACAATGAAGCCAAAGCAGTCATTGTAGAGGCAGCGGAAGGGTGGAATAGCAGGTCTCTGTATATATTCGTTATTAAACGACTCAGTCTTCGATGAAAAGTAGAAGCAAATACACGTTAACCAGGCAATCTTGCATGGCTAAACGCAGTTGATCGAATTCGCCTTCTGTTCAAGGTTATTTGCATGTGCACGGTGAGGATGTACAAGATTAGGCACATCACCACAAAGATGAGACTTCACGATATTGTGGGTAATCAACACCTCGTAATAAGAGACCTCGTTATCTTGTTTGTTCAGGTCATGTGATAATACTCTTGAAAACTGTTTCATTCAAATTTCGTCTCATACACGTGCGTATGTACGCATAATTTGCAAACGACAAAGCTGTGAATTCCCTGAGACCTAGAATGGGAAAAAAATACAGGCTAAAGAGGTATATTCCGGCAAATCTTATCTTACCGTCACATGACGCTGTCAATTTCCATCCAGTTTTGATCGCTGCGTCTTTATCCTTCGGCAATTTGTCGAACTTTCCCCAGGTCACTGTAAGAGAAAGGAATTCTTTTAGGGGAGAACTTAGAGGGGATCAGTTGTCGCCAACAGAGTGTAAAGGGGGAACCTTAGCAAATTGAATATCAGTTAGCTGGCAATGATGTCGGGGGGATCATACGAATATTACAAAGCCTTAGGGGGGATCAGGTAAGACACAACCAAAATCCTTTAAACCCCCCACTCCTAGGCCATTAATAATGGCCAGTCCCTTACGTTACAGTCGACATTGTGGCACCCAAACTCCGCGCGGTATGTTGGTATGAGACGTCATGACCGGGAGCTAGAACCTATATACACAATGAGTTGGTAAGATTGTGAAAAAAAGCTAAACTGTTTCACAATAATGTCTCTCACATTGATATTTGTTCATTCAAATTTGTAGTCTACCACAAGAAAAGCTAACTTTAAATGCTAGTCCTGGCTGATCCATTCCTAAATACTGGTCCATTGCTAAAATGCACAACTTCAAATTATTTAAAACATTTCGCAGAATAAACAAATGAATGATTGACTTATAAATTACCTGAAAGCTGAGACCATTCTGGTGCTGAGAAGAGAAAATAGTTTCAAAATTACTTATAAGAAAGAAATTGACTCGTCAGGGGGCGCTTATCGGAAACAGGGTGCTTAATCGAGGGGGGCGCTTATTATTCTCCTGTACTGACTCCGCTATAGTTGATGCTTGAAAAGTTATAAAGTTGAGTGGCAATAGAGGTTTTCTTTGTATCCCTACAAATTAGGAAAGTGAAGGCGGAGGTGGGGGGCGGTTTTTTTTCGAGGGGGCCACTTGTTGCCTCTATGGCCTGGGGTTGGGCGATTATTCAGGGGAGGCGCGAGGCGCCTTTTAGATTTATTAGAGCTTAGGCGCTTATCCGTGGAAGGACGATGTTCTTTAATTTGTACTACAACGTAAGCAAATGATATCTGAATGTTTCAAGTTTGCGATTTGATTCGTTTGAATTTCTGCCTCTCTCTTGGTCAGTCACACACACACGAGGGCCTCGTTTATAACGTGAAGCAGTTTGTTTTAAATTATTTCGATTGTGACGAACAAAATCTTACAATGCGATAGGACAGAAAAGTGCCGAGTTATATTTAAGGTGCACCATTAATGCAGCTCTACTTAATTGGCATTTAATTTTCAATAAAACACAGCAATATTCAAACGGCTTCGATTCGAGTGCCAGTATAAGTTGTTAAATAAATTGTACATCGTGATCGATCCAATATTTTTTAAGGGTGTACACGATCCAAATAAATTGTAACTGAAAGGGGCCCAAGTTGGCTGGTATATCTGCCACTTGATGTTTAACTTTCCGGATGAAATGAAAATCGGTTAGCATCTTTTCCATTTATATAGTACACTTAACTCTGAGTAGGAATACACCTGTTCGTGTTTCGCTTGACCATTGATATGTTTGACGGTTTTACGAGTAGTCGATAAGGCAATGTTATTGTCACCCACAGCCATGAGTTTTGATGTTCAATTTCAAGAGCAGACCTGGCAAGCTCGCCATCGGTTTTTGATGCTTGAAAAACAGTTATAACAAAAAGGAGGAAATTGAAGGAAACAATTTTTATATACTCACCTTCTGGTTTCGATTCCCACGGCCATCTCCATGCTTGGGCACACGTCCCCAACACGAAGACAAAAATGAAGGATTTCATTCTGATTTCAACTGAGTGCAGGGTGTGTGTATTTGCTTCGTTAAGACCCGTTTTATCAAGTTGTGAGGATTTGTGTTCAGTTAAAAGCTCGTCAAAATCGGACAGATGTGTAAACAAATGTGTTCCATGCGCTTAGCTAAGGGGGACCTGGGTATGCATGTGACCACTCCTTTCATGAAGAAAAAAAGATAACTCATTGTTAGAAAATTAACTGGCATGTTCGCCAGAACCAGGAAGACGCTGTAATCTCTAAAACCGGGAAAACGACGCTAATGAAATTAAAACAATGACTGGAGAAACATAATCATTGTAATCATGTGGGCGCTTTTTGCTTTAATTCCAAAGTTTGTTTAGCTGCGTAATTCTACTTTTCAAAACAGGAAATAATAAAAATCATTTTTAGAGCAGGCGATTCCCAGAAGCTTATCTTGTTACGCTAACTTAAAACGATCATTTTCTCGAATGTCCGATCCCCATTCGCGAGCTCTTAATACAATTTGCCTCTCTCTCCAGTTATTATTGAATTTATTCTAGGTTATGTCACGATCATGTGCAAATATATTGTAAAGGAGTCTTTGTGTTCTTGTGAAGTTACCGCAAAAAATTCAAAGGTGTTTTTGCATGGCAGCATCAGTGGGTAGTAAGAGTACAATAGTGTCTTATTTATCGTCAGTGGAAACTTTCTATTATCGGTTGTAAACGTAAGAACAAAACAGGTGAAATATGAATTAAAAAAATGAATAAAAATTCTTCTCTTTTATGAACATTTGGATAGTCCAAAAAGCTTTGGATATTTTTTCGTTTACACTGTTTTGTCATGTTTTACACATGGCTCAGCTGTTAAAGAAATAACAAAAACCATTTTTTATAAATGAAAGTTTTGTAAGAGATATTGTTCTGCTGTTGTCAATTATGATAAATTTTAATTGTTCGACAATGAGACAAAATCAATTACATGCCTTCTATCAAAGCCTTGCTTTTTCTGGCAGCATAATTCTGTTTTGAGGTTTTGTTTATTTTCAACTGAATGCTTTAATGTCTAAGACGTTATGGCTGATCGAGAATCTATCGTTCGGTCTAAACTGAATATTCTGTGTCTCGTAAAGCGGGATTTGTCCAAACAAAAACTTCACCTAATTTTTTTCCAGTTCGACTAGATTTTGTAAGGAGAAAAAATCATTTCGCTCACCCACAAATGAATACCGTAAAAATATACAATTGAGACAAAATCAGAGCGTAACAGAGCAAAACTGTTTCTTTTCACTCACTTCGCAATCTTGCTATCATCGATGACGGATGGTACACGCAGCTGAACCTTTCTCACACACACGACAAAAAATTCCAGCGTTTTTAGCCCTCCATCACCCATCAGGGACCAGGAAAGAGGTTATTCCACTGAACAATCAATACAGACAAGTGATGAGATTAAATGACTATATCTATTAGTCGATTTTTAGTTGATCCAATACTAAATTTTCAGAACTAACATCAAAAGAATTGTACGGCAGATATTATGGAGAAAGGAGATTTTCTTATGAGATATTGATAGTGAAAGGGTTAACCAAAACGATGCCAGAATATGTAACAATTACATTTTGTTTTCACAAATAAAATAGACAAGCGACAAGGCACGAGACAGAACAGAAGACGTTTTGTCGCAGCTAGATGGTAATTTCCTTAGCTTTTCCATGAGTTCAACTCGTACAACGCCTTTTCTTTCCCGGCCCTCAAGAAGATGCCTTGCCGAGTGAAACATCCCCTTCTACTGCATTGTGATGCCCCCCTCCCCCACAGGAACCACATGTAAGTTTGGTTCGACCATATGCTGCCCGTCTCAATTTTATGGTGACAAGCGGGCTTTGTTAACACGTGATTTTTATGTTCAGCTTCCTTGCGCACGTGTATCCATCTCAGTCAGAACTCGAGAAAATATAAACCTGTCGCACTTTGTTTTATAAATTATTTGTTTTGTAATGCTTTCTCACACTCTGTACTTTTTAGATAATTCATAAAATGACTGAGTGGTGGAAAATTGTCGTAATCGTAAGAATCAATTTGAATCAGTTCTAGCCTTCGATCGCACGTGAAAGTTGAAAGTTTTCAGATAAATTAAATTGAATGTTATTCATATCCCAGAGTGGTATATGTTACTTTGCGCCAGCCAATTTGTAATCTTCCAGACACCTGAGTTTCGTTTTGAAATTACAGCTGCTTAATAATGTTCTCTTTCACATAGTTTTTCTTCCGATGACGTCTAAGATTAACGAAATGGCCCCCTTTTTTATGAAATACAGATCTATATATAAGTGTTAAATCCTTTGAATAAATAATATTTCGCCATATGATAAACACATAGCAAACCGTTCATCTCTGTAAAAACCACGCCCCGGCCGGTGGACATAAAAACTTTCAATCTTTAACGCGTTTTGAACGAAGAGTAACTGCATTCGCAACATCTCCGCGCCTTTAGGTGTCCACCATGTCTCTGAATGTCTTCGCATTTTTTAAGCTGTTTGTAGCCGTAATTATGTGCGTCGGAGGCGCTATTTTGAGTATCTTTTACTACTGTTACCTTCAGGATCAGGATGACATCCAAGCGAGTCCAAAATTTCGCAAGAAAACAAGTGAGCAAGCGGACTTCGATTATGAAGAAGACCTTACCAAAGAGATCGTTATCAATATTGGGGAAGAACCTCTAGCAGAGAAAGGACCTTTTGAAAACGGAGGCAACACTGTTGACGACAAACCTACGGATGGAGAGGGAAAGTAAAGGGCTTGTGTAAAAGCTGACACACTCCGGTTCTTGATTCGTATTCTAACTTATGTGCTGCGGATTTTACCATTTTTCTAAATGATTATCAAATATCTTTTAGAATGAAGGACTGGAAAACTGTTTTAAATCCTTTCGTTCTGACATAATTTAGTAGTACCGCTATTTAAAAGATTTTTACTTATTTAATTAATTAACCAAAAAAAAAGGATGATGGATGAAGACAGATTTCGTCATGAAGTTCGTTCAGAATGTAACCAAAAAAAATTTTTTTAAAAATAATTTATATTACATTACCGATAATTAAAAACTTCTGGTTGAAAACTGGTTTTCAACTTAAATAACCAAATAGAAAATACTTTTAAATCTTGATGTGATCGACGTTCCAACATAAAAATATGTAAATCTAAATGAAAGCAATTTTTCTTTATTATACAGTTAATTGAAAGCGTTTAAGCCGGCGTAGAATGGCATAAAATTTTCGCCAGACATCATTATTTGCCGCCTTTGCTGCAAGATGCCTTGCCGGGTGGAGCATCTTCTTCTACTGCATTGTGATGCCCCCCTCCCCCACGGGAACCAGGGTCACATTTAAGTTCAGTTCGACCATAAGCTGCCCGTCTCAATTTTATCATGACAAGGGGGCTCTGTTAACACATGATTTTTATGTTCAGCTTCCTTGCGCACGTGTATCCATCTCAGTCAGAACTCGGGAAAATATAAACCAGTCGCACTTTGTTTTTATAAGTTATTTTTTTTGTAATGCTTTCTCACACTCTGCACTTTTTAGATAATTGATAAAATGACTGAGTGGTGGAAAATTGTCGTAACCGTAAGAATCAATTTGAATCAGTTTTAGCCTCCGATCGCACGTGAAAGTTGAAAGTTTTCACATAAATTTAATTGAAGATATTCATATCCCAGAGTGGTACATGTTACTTTGCACCAGTCAATTTGTAATCTTCCAGACACACCTGAGTTTCGTTTTGAGATTACGGCTGCGTATTAATGTTCTCTTTCACTATGGCATAGTTCTTCTTCCGATTACGGATTTACGAAATGGCCCCCTTTTTTATGAAATACAGCTATATATAGCTATATTTAAGTGTTTAATCCTTTGAATAAAACGGATTAATATATGGTGAAATATTAACAACAACAGCTGCACAATCACAGCCTGATAAATATCATAAACTGATGATAGAGCAGAGTTTTTATTTCGTATAGATTTAGGAAAAAGTTATGAGTTAGGGAATTACGTTAGGGAATCCGCGAACACAAAATGCTAACAGACAAAATTCGGCGTGTTTTTTGCCAGCGAAAAGGTTGGTCTTTTTTTTCCAAGCGAAAGCGCGCGTAGTCGACCGCGTCGTCTCCTTTGCAGCTGTTTTTTGGGAATGTCACGCCGGGGGAGCGTTGCGTGATATCCCGACTGCGAAGGGCAGCGAGCGCGAAGCGGAGTTACGCGCGAGGTATGTAACCCCTGGGACGATACCTGCTGTTCACGTTCTCCTCGCACAAAACTTCAGACGGAAAAAAAAAAAAAATTAAAATCATAGTCTAAATCATTTCCTCTTCTAAGAAAACATAATGTTTAATGTCAACATACATATTTCTAAAAGTGAAGTGGAATTAAGAAAAAACCTATACATTGCCGTAACTCGTGTTTCAACCAACGCAACACTGATCCGCACGTGAAGCATGACAAGAAACATTCAGATATATTTAGTTCTCCGTGTGACAAGGGCTGTTGTTATTCTAAGACCTCTGTCCACAATGTCTACCTTAAATTTTCAATATTTTATTTTAGATGTTTTTATTTAGAGAGAACTTATACTTTTAGATTGAAGACAAACTACAAAATTCGCACAATTTTTATGCCCAATAAATTTCTTAAATTGTACTGAGGCACAAAAAGTAAATAAAAAACAAAAATAGACAATAAAACTCCACTGTCTGAGCAACTCTGTGCTGAATATTAAATAGTAGAAAAAAACTCTTTAAGGATTTCAGGAACATCTTCCTCTTTATAATTCTTCACTTGCACGTTTTCTCCAATTGCTCCCCCGATCATGGCAGAAAGATCTATAAGCAAGAAAAAAATACTAATTACCTATTCTGGTAAAAATACCACTATTTGATTGGTCAGCTGGATGTTTCTGTAACTTCAGACTATGAGTTTTCTAGGCAATACCATTTAAATTGAATGGTCAAATATCATTATTTCATTGGTCAGTTGCATGTTGTGCAAGCTTGAGAATTTGGATTTTTGGACAAAAGTTCCTTAGACAGCATAACTAGCCCAACAGTTTAAAAACAGATGCTACAAAGTCTGTCAAGCATGGGGGAGTACAGAGCAGTTGTTGCCTGGATACAGCAAGAGAGGGGTCAGGGGAAAAGGGGAAAAGGGGAATCAGGGGTCAGCAGCTGGGGTGTGGTAGGAGTAGCCTAAGAGTAGGGTAAGAGAGATATGCAGGGTTGGAGGGAATGAGGCTGCTGAAGCATTTACCAGCACCAATTTTGAGGTGTGACAGCAATATTGCTGGGATCAACAACCTAAATCAATCAAGCACTATCTATGACATTTATAGTGTGGCTCAGAATAACACATTTGGTTGACATGCAAACCTACGTTTTCCACTGTCAGGTCTAAACAGACAAAGAATCTTCTTTTTCTTCTCAAATGCTCTCCCTATTTCATATCCAACTCCCAAGGAAGGCTGAGTGACTTCTGCAACTAATGCTGAAGAAAAAGAAACAACTTTTATTTTCATAAAGACAAGTTGACCATCAATTTGACTTTGTAGAAGAGTATCAACATAATATGTGTGTGTTTGTGAACCAGAGGGACAATAGATGGATTTAAAAAACTTTTTCAATTCCAGGGTTGACCAAGAAGTCATTTCCCACATGATATCAATACTCTATCAATACAACTTTCAAGCAGATTGGAAAATAACACCAAGGAAATATCATTTGATTTGACACCAAACCCTCAGAACTGACATTCATAAGAAATACATGATTGATAGAATGGAGAATTATTACTTAGAACTAGTAAGTCAAACTGTATGCAATTTACCATCAGACTTTTCCAACCAGGCCATGTCACGGTCATGAATAAACTTGTCACTACCTAAAGATATCCAATAAAAAATGTAGTTCATTTAGTATAAAGCTTAAAGTAAAATGAAAAAATGAATGACAACTTAATTAGTGCACTGACTAGGTACTGACTGAGTATGAGAAACCTTTCCTTTTCTAATCATCCAGCTGAGTGCAGGTAAAAGAGGCAATCTGTGGCTACATGGAAACACTTTCTCACACTGCCGTGTTATAAACTTCAACAGAAAAGCCTAAAATGTATTCACTGAGGAAGGGTTAAGGCCAAAAGCTATGGCAGTTTATTTTTAACAGCTGTTTTTCATGTGTGGCCAAAGGAACTTCTTTGTTGGGATACATTTATTAAAATCAGGTGAGACAGGAAAATTAAAAATAAAAATATGCTGGGGAAAATTTAACTTCTGCCAAACATCAGTCAAGTCACAAATTCTTCTGAATGATGAACAAGTTGCCAAGTTTGCAATCATTTTGTTTTAGCTAAATGATCAAACAATTCGTTCCTTACAGTATTTGCAATTCAACCAATCAGATATGGAGTTTCCCATGAAGATCTTTTCTAAAAAGATCCTCTTTTTCTTGTAACATGTCCCACGAAAGAAACGTTGCACTCTCTCAACTGAACATGCATAGATTTGGTTAACATTCCTGAGAAGTTGGCTCTGTTCCAGGAGGAATCAAGTTCTTCTTCTGATCTCTAACCAGCTATGCTGCATAATCTCTACGATACTTAATGCTTGTGCGCTTTAGAACACGGAAAAGAACCCCCAATGATATGCTACGGTCCCAACGTGTGGCTTGGCAGCTTAACTGTACACAGTTGGTAGTAGCGGCCAACCATGTGTCGCACCCAACTAGTATCTGCTAGTCATGCGCACGGTTTCGAATTCCCTCGAAGCTTGAATTTTTTTTAAGTCGTCTTTTCTGCAACTTCTAAAATTGCTGCTCACCGGCAAGGATCATGGCTTCACTCGATTTAGAATTGTCATATTAGGACTAAATTATTGACTGTTTCTCGTGACAAACCTTGTTCTTTGTCTAGCAAGTTGGGATCAGCAATATGTTCTGTCAAAACATCACCGTATTGTTTCAGTTGATCTATGATACGCTTGTATAGAGCTGCATCGTCTCTCCCTCCACGAATACTTCCACAGAAATAAATGAATCGTTTACCATGCCCGCTCATTTTCGTCTAGTATTCGAGCCCCTCAACCGTCTCAAGAACTACAAAATCTGCCAGGCGTTCTCAAATTGCTTGGACGGAAGTGGACGTTAGGACAGGTCTTAATCTACCCCTCCCCAGAGAGAAATCACTGCAGACCCCTTTGACCTGTGAATAGCAGGAAAAATAATAACCCTTATTTTCTAATCGTAACGTACGATCTTCACAGAATTTTTTTTCTGTTCTTTTTTCAATCTCCTATATCTAGAAGAGGATATTCCTCACCTCATCTCCAGTCCCTTTTCAAATCTTCATCCTACCTGATCCATCATGGCGGCCAGGCGTCTTCCCGAGACTTTTCGGAAACTTATAATTTCTAAACTTTCCACAAATTACAGAGAGGCTGCCGAACTGTTAACGGTACCTATGTTGAAGCCAGGGCCGGATGAGTTACTCGTCAAAAACAGGTAGAATATTTAAACGAGGTGTTCACACCGTGAAGAGGTACCTCTTTCATCCTTAGAGAGTCCCCTTCGGGAATATTTCCAATTATTTTTTCTCCGCGGTTCATTCAAAATAATCTCTAGCAGCCGATCTTTTCTGTGGGTTTTGAATTTCTCTCGGCTTGCAGGTGTGCAATGAGAGTTTTTGACTCGTAAGGGCGTGTGAAGTAGATGATCAACCCGTAACTCAAGCATCTTTTGCACTCACGCCTCAGGCGTCATGCACAGGGTGTAATTGAAAATATCAAACAATATCATACATGTTCTATGAAAAGCAAGGGTTGAGCTAGATTGTTGTAACTATCAAGTACAGCAGATCACAGGTCCATTGAGATGTCCTTGGCATGGGATAGCTTCTGTTCCTTCGGTTCCCCTCTACCTACCCAAAAAAGAATTGCATACCACAATTTATATCTCATACAAGTTTGTTGATCACAATTGCATCTTTTTCGGAAAACAAGGCTGCTGACCCTCCCCTGCTCTTTTGCACTCACATACCTCACTATCCCTGCTAATTTGTTGCCCTCCACCCCCACCAAATCCCTTTTAAATAAGGATAATACCCTACTGCACCATGCTCACATGTCTTATTACTGTGTGTGATTTCTATTTTGTGGTTTATGATTTTACAGATATGTTGGGATTAATGCCACAGAAATAAACCATTCTGCTGGTCGATATAACCCAGGGGTACCCCCACCATTTGATGGTGGACTAGAGGTGAGTGTACTCTAATTTAGTTTTAAGACAGACTCAGACCTCTAACTAATGACAGAAATAGCTAATAAATTTATTTGCCAGATGTAGAAGGAACTATGAATTCTTTGTATCACCAGCAGCTATTAGCAAAATAGTAATTCAAGGTCTTGCCAATACCTCTTCAGCCAGGCCATGCATTTATTTACTAATCAGTTTGTTACTCTTATAAAGCTGATCATGCTCTCTGTGTGTAAGATAAGCAGAACTTGTCGGAAATTGCCAGCAAGAGGGAGGGGAAGGTAGTGGAGATTCTCTGTTTAGCAGTGAAACTAAAATAACCCCCCCCCACCCCAACAATTAACAACTCCAAATGATGGTGGTTAGGAGAATTTTTCATGACTTTTTGACAAGTTCATTAAGTTAAAACTTGAGGTGAAAAATGTGAATGATCTCCCTGTTGGAGTAACAGGAAAAATAATTTAGAAAACATTTGCTTCCTATTATAAGCTAGACATATTATTAAACCATCTCTCTCTGATCATAGTGGCTTAGCCCCTTATATCATGATTTTCCTTGTTCCCTACCTCTTCCTTCACTATTGCTGATTTCTGGGTAGTCACTACTACTACTGATGCAATTTTCTTTCCCAAGGGTATTGGAGAAGTTGTGTTAACTGGTGAGAAATGTAAAAACTTTCACCAAGGTCAGGCAGTTGGATATTTTCAGTTTGGAACCTTCTCAGAATATATGGTAAAAATTTTTTTGGATTTTTTTGGATATCAGTCATAATGTATAAGTTCCTTTAAAACTGCTTGTTACTTCTACAAGTAATGCACTATCTGAATGCATATATTATTTTTATGAATAGTTAAAAAAAAGCTTTTGTGAACATGATGGAAAAATTTTGCAGAGCCTTTTATCCAATTTTGTGACATGATTAACCTCTCAAGAGTGAATTGAAACTAATTACTTTGACTCTATATTTTTTATAAAAGAAAAAAAAGTCGGAGAACCCTGAAAGAATTATTGATATCTGATTTAAATTTCTCACTTGTCGTTGCCGCCTTTTTGCACAATATGGCTATTTACTTTTCACTTTTTGTGAGTAATCTTTCATATAATGAATACTGACATCCACCAAATCTCTTTGCAAATGATTTCCTAGTTGGCCTTAAATGTCTAGACAGGAGTTGCATGTTCTTGAAAGAAACTGGTTTGGTGCAAAAACAAGCTGGTAAAATATCAAGTAGAACATCAATGGAAGAGCAATACATGTGAATCTGCTACCAAAATAATAAGTTGCAACACTAAAAAAGCTGACTCATTTGAACATGGTTCTTCAGTCACTACCACTTTGCTACTAATCCAACAAGATGATATGATGAATGATTCTCACATGGTGATCTTGTTGATATTGGTATTCTTGCAGACCATTTCCTCAAAACAAGCATTTCCCCTGCCAAGAGTGGATCCTGTATATGTTTCATTACTCATCAGTGGCCTGACTGCTGGTATTGCTCTTGACAAGGTGCTCAGTTTTTCAATGTATATCATTTACCATAAACATATTTTGCCTTACTTTGCTTGCGCCATAATAATATTTTAAAGTGATGACAGACCAACATTATTTCTTCCCTCAATTATCCCTATTGGGGAAGACTTGGTGGCCTGCAGTGAGTTGGACTGCAGATCAAGAGGCACAGGTATGAGACTTGGCCGCATCATTGCATTGTGTTTTTGGGTAAGACGCTTCACTCTCATGGTGCCTGAGCCCTCCACCCAGGAGTATACATGGGTATGACCAAGCTGTCAGGAAACCCTGACAAAAGGATGAGGGTGACTAGCTTCCTGTGAAAAGGGGGATAAACTGTGGCTGGAGGGGGGTAGCCAGGATTTTTCAAAGCAGGGGTCACACTGTGTCAAATAGAGAGTACTCACCACATTATCAAGTCAACCTCCACACTGTGTTTTACTTAATATGACACAAAAAGTTTCCAAAAGGGGGTCATGGGCACTCCAGAACCCCCCCCCCCCTTGCACTAGACTTGACTTGACACTATTTGTACTTTTGTGAAGGGACCAGAAGTAATCTGGAAATTAGAAGATCAATTCTTGGATGATACTGAACAATTTAAAAAGTCTTGTTTTATTGCAATAGGTTGGTGAAATTAAAAGCAATGAAATAGTTCTGGTGACAGGTAAATCTATTTTATTATCAAGTTTGTTTTGAACACTAGAGTTTCATAAACTTAACTACCTGTCAGTCCTAATCTTAAAAAAAGAAAATACTGGTTTCACAATAAGAAATGATAGGAACTCTTGACATCTGAGCTCTTACTTGTTAATATTTCTTATTTCCTTAAACCAATTACAGAGTATAGTTAAAACAAAACTGACACAATCTTGGATATCTATTGACAATCAATTTAAAAAGTACTCTGTCTAATGTTAGTTCCACTGTTTTCTTACAGCGGCTGCAGGAGGAACTGGTCAGTTTGCGGTATGTTGTATCAAACAATTACCTGAGCTTGGGATGTTGAGAGTTTTTGGGCCTTGCACCCACTACAAATTTTTTGTTATGGAGTTTAGTTTATTATGTTTCAACAATGATAAACCTTGAATTCAATAAAAGGGTTATGAAGTTGCATTTTTATTACGATGTCTATCAATCATGAGTTCCCAATTTTGGGAGAAAACTTCTTGTAATTTAACTGCAACCTTCAATTAAAAAGGGTTCATTACGATGTCTATCCAATCATAACAAAACTGAGAAAAGAAAAGATCGATAAGATAAGGGTCAGGTAAAATAAGAAATGAATGAAAACTTGAAATCCAGGAACTCACAGAGTTACAAACATTCGGAGTTGGGTAGGAGTTGGAACGAGCTCAGCATGTGGGACATTTCATTTTTTGTTACACAAATACTTTTGATATGTTAATTTTCAAAGGTCCAACTTGCAAAGTTGGCGGGATGTCACGTGATTGGCACATGCTCGACAGATGCCAAAGGAAATTTTTTAAAGGTTGGTTGGCTTAACCCTTTACACCCAACTTTAACATTGATATGCATGTTCTCCACACTGTTCTTCATACATTTCCTATAATACTGACAAGGAGAATTTGACTTACAATCAAGAGCTTCTTCAGTTTGTGATCATTTCCTTTATTCTCATGACCATTATGTGTGATTCAGGGGTGATAAGTGACGCAAGGTCACTGCCATTATGCACCTGATTTTTTAATGTTTGGATAGGGTAAAACTTTGGAAGTTTTTCTGGCAGCATGTTGCATGACTGAATACCTTAACCCTTTCACTCCCAAGACTGATCTAATTAGTAATTCTCCTTACTATCTGCCATACAATTCTTATGATGTTAGTTCAGAGAATTTGGTATTGGATCAACTAATAATCCCATAATTGATATTCTTCTCTATTCTCATCACCTACCTGCTTGATATTGTATTGATATTGTAAGGAGAAATTCTGTCTTGGTCACTTGTGGGAGTGAAAGGGTTAAGGGCTGAATCTGGGCAAAGTGAACTCACTTCTTCGTAGGGTGTTAAAAGAACAGTCAACTGTGGAGAAAGCAAGTGTCTTTAACCACGGCAAAATGAGTGCACATCTCGCGTCAGCAATATCGCGCGCGCAAAAGATTGAGATCAACATTCTTCCTTCAAAAACAGCTAATGAAAGATGGCATTATATAATTTGTTCTAGTTTGCAAAGATAAAACCGAAACCCTATAATAGTGATTCATTGTGATTACTGCGATGTTTTATTTAGCCTTATTTTTTAATTGCAGTCTCTTGGATGCGATCGACCAGTAAACTACAAGACAGAGAAATTAGATGAAGTCTTAAAGAAGGAATTCCCGGTAAGAGCAGAGAAGTAAACAATTTTTGGGGGGCAGGGGAGACTGAGTTGTCAGGCCGAGTACCACCGCTTGTTTTCTGAATGGTCTGAAACAAAAAGTTTTCCCAACTTCCTCCACTCCTGTTTTGTTATTGTTGTTGTTGTTGTTGTAGAATGTCCTGGGGGACGTTTCGCCCTTCATCAACAGGCAACCTACAGACACAAGACTCAGGACATGAGACATTCATTTCCATGATCCGTAAGAGTGGCGGTGTCTATCATTTTCTCTCGGTAGATTCCTACTTAAAATTTATAAGTGGCAATTGAAGGAATGAAGGAAGTATCACCGAGACATGTTAATAGTTTCTGTGAGTTTTGTTTTGTTCTAAAGTGACAATGCAGAATTTATTTTGGGGTTTCTTTTCCAGAATGGTGTTGATGTAGTGTACGAATCCATCGGGGGAGAAATTTTTGACATTTGTGTCAACAGGTAAGAACTGACTTTGACTGAAATAAAACTTAAATTATATTTAAGCAATTTGACGGTTTGATTAAAAGAGGGCTCTGTCAAACAGAATTGGTACAAAAAAATGATCCAAAATTTCAGCCAGGGGAATTTATCGAGAAGTGAGATTATTCCTTAAATTTTGGTTCCAGACCCTCGCCAAAATGCACAAACAGGACCGAGTAGTTCGACATGCGACGATCACTATTTTAGATTAGCCACTATAACAGTTAGCTTGTTGCATGTTTAGCACAGGCCCGTTGAGTTTTCCGAGAATACCACCTTGGTTTAGTGTTAACCGGGTTTCAAAGTCCCATGTTTTAACAATATGAGGAACGTTGCCATCGTTAATGCGTCGACAAGAGGTTTTTAAACAATATTACTGGTCAACACTGATTAACGTATCATTTTGTAATTTAAGGACATGATCTTAGTTAAGTTTCCTTCTCCCTTTTTAGGCTGGCTAAGAAGGGTCGCTTGGTAACAATTGGTTTCATTACCGGTTACCAGTCCAAGTTAGGATTCACCCCGGTCAAAAACGCAACTCTTGTTCCAAAGGTATTGTGCAATAATGCGATGCAGCACTCCTTTCAGAGACAGACATATCGAAAATTATGACGGGGGATGGAATAAGAAAATCTCAGGCAGCCGGAATTTTGTTCTTTTCTTGAAATCACTGTATTGGGTGTTAAAGGTTCTAAAACGATCAATTCAAAAAACGCTGATACAAAATTTTCTTGATATTCTTGAGACAATCATAAGCATGAATGGCTTTCACTTACACTGGAATACGCCATCAATGAGGCTTGTTGTGTAAGTCTACCTAAATGTCCAGTTCAAAGAGCAAGTACCCCTAATTTAATTTTCAAAACTAGACCACAGGCAGTCCAAGCTCGATCTACTAGTAAATCTGTATTAAATTATTCAGGCACAACGGTAGAAATATAGTATTTATATAAGGATTGTTTGTGGAAACCAAAAATATTAGGGATTCGATTTCGACAATAGTCGTGTGTGTCTGTTTGTCTCCGTGTGGTTTTTGAGTCGATTCCTGGCGATTTAAGCGTGCGTTTTTCCTGTATGTATATATTTCACAAAAACACACACAAGACAAACGAACTTAGGACTGAAGCGAGGTAAGCTTGTTATTTTTGATGTTGAATTCCCTGATATTTTTTTTCCTTTTTTTAACACACCTCTCACGGAAGCCCTTGCAATTCTACCCTTGTGTGTTAACTACACAATGCAGGTAAAACTCGCATATCGAGCTTGGGTAACCTGTGATCCGACATGTGCTGATTCTTCGCCTCTGTGTATTTTATTTTGCTTCTCGTATCTTCAGCTGTTATCCAAATCGGCGAGTGTCCGTGGTTTCTTGTTATTTCACTATGCTGAGGAGTTTAAATCAACTCTGGCTAAACTTGTGGACTTGTACGACAGCGGGAAGTTAAAGTGTCACATTGACGTTGGACATTCATCGCCAACAGGAGTCTTCAAAGGTCTGGATTCAATACCGGATGCGGTCGAGGTAAGGATTAAAATGAATATCCTGGGAATCAGAGAATTGATTTTTATAGTTAGGGACCGGTAAATAAGTTATCGCATAGCTTCAAAGCTCGGGAGGTGGGTGGGGGTCCGCAGGGTTTTGATTGTTTAACAATAAAATTTACCCGATCCTCCAAAAGGGCTCTGTAATATTCTTATGCCCTTGGGGCAGTTAATTGGCTGTCTATTTGTATTTTTCCCCGGTTATACTCTGTTGGCGACGACTGATCCCCTGTCCATTCCCTTTTGTGACCCCCCTCCAAAAGCCTCCGTTTCCTCCCCGGATAAATAATGACTTGTCCCTCAACCCTTTAACTCCTATGAGTTACGAAAACAGAATTTCAAGCAAACAAGTGATGAGAAGAAAGAGAAGTATCAATTATGGGATTATCAGTTGATCCAGTAACAAATTCTCAGAACTAAAATCATACAAACTGCACAGCAGTTAGTAAAGAGAATTACTGATGAGATCTTGGGAGTTAAAAGTTTAATTGTGACCCACCTACCAAACTGGTTTATTCAAAGAGAGGTAGAGCATTTTTTCAGGAATTTTCTCAAAGTAAAGGTTCCATCCGAATAGAGAACTATAATCCATGAATTGAAAATATGGTCCGGGTCGGGTGGGAAAGAATAGTGATTGTAGGCGCCGTTAGTAACATATCCGCCTTGGTTCATTTTTTGTTGGGGTGGCGAGCACTTCAGGTGCTGAGCACATTCGGGTGACGATCATCCTTTGGGTGCCGAGCACTATTGGGTGGCGATCTCTCTCAGAAGCCGAGCACCTTCAGATGCTTAGCTCCCTATAGTCTTTTAGTAATATGAACGAATTCCACAGGAATAAATCAGTGAAGTGGATAAGCGCTACATGTAAGATTATTGCTTCTATCTCGCTTTGGTAACGCATGATCCAATTTTCGTTTCTCGCCAGTATTTGCACAGTGGGAAAAGTTCAGGCAAAGTTGTGGTGGAGATACCAGATAACCCAAAAAGCCTTCTGTGAAGAAAACAAAATAGTTTAAGCCGGACAATTCTTGAGGCCGCGGTAAGCGGCTAAAATGAACTATGATTTTACCTACTTTCGTATGATCCTTACATCAACAGTGTACTAGAGGAAATAAGACAAAATCTTTTTTTCACCATTGAGGCAACTATTATCACGTTGGTGTAAAAACAGCTGAATGCAGACGGCGAGAAAGGAGTCATGCTTAAACTCTCTGGGTTTAGGTAGTGTCATGTAGATGGCCACTTTACTTTGTAGTGCCGAGGAGCTTAGTTGTTCAAAATGAAAAACGTCAAAAGAGAGACATTACAGTTCATAAGGTACTAGAATATCACAATTAAAATGATCATTTGATTTATTTGGGTCTTTCTTTTTATTGAACAATGGCACACCAAGGGGCTTGCAAATAACTGCCTACACATAATTTTGAACTTATGCGTTTTTCAGTCCATAGTCTTAGCTCGAAAAATGATCCTCTGTAGATATGCAAATCTTTGATGTCGCGAAATGGGCAAAATATGAGTATTGATATGGAAAAAACAGTTACAATCTGTAACTAAAACTCTGAACTAGTTCTGAGTTCTAGTAGTCGGAGTACTTTGCTCTTGAGTACGGAAACCCTCATCTTAAATGCTTTAGCAATTTGGAGCCGGTACTGCTGAGAGGGTACAATGTTTTTTCTGCTCCCAATCGCACGACCTTCGCACGACTATTCCCAAAATACCCTCTTACTCTCTCAACCAATAAGACTTTGAAGATTATCGATTTCCGCTGTTTTCGCTTTCTTGTGGACTTCAGTTCTGAGTACGCTGTTTTTGTGGTCAACCCTCCACAAATCCTAACCACCCACGTGGCAACATCTATTGCTGGAAAACTTGACATGGCTCCCTACTTTTCCTTAAAAATCTTTTCTCTTTCATTTATTCCCTGTTCTGAGTGCCACTGGCTTTTACTCCTCCTTTCCTCGCCTGCATATAAATCAACTTTGTAAACAAGTAAAATAAAAATCATGCAACTGATTTTGAAAAAAAGCAACCACAAACACCTTGAGTTCACGACAACCTCGTTTCTAAGGTCTTCATTTTGAGGCTGAATTTCCATGTGAAAACCTTTCAATGAACTAATTTGCATTTCACGCTACCTCGTGGCGAGAAATGTCTTACTTCGGAGGAAAGAAAGTACAAGAGAAACCTTCCGATGAATCAAGTCTTCCGCTCAAACATGGCTAGAAGCATCGAGGAGACACTGCTACTTTTACTTGGAAATATGACCTGGACCAACAGTCTTTCCATTTCAATACAAAACACGGTAAGATAGGAGTGAATTTACCTTGTTCAGCAAAACGTGCTTAATGAATAAGGGATAGTGTGGATTGTCAGTTGTATTTTTGCGAACTTGTGCTCGCGACAAGCAATTTAATTCTCATATCTTCGTTTAACATCAATATCAGATATCTGAGAACATATTGAGGGAAGAACTTTAATTGAAAAGGCCCAACCAACTCGAGTAGTAGGTCGATAAAAACGTCATCGCTCGGCGGCAAATTCAAACGAAACTTTGTAAATGAGGTTTCAAGACTGATTCTCGAGGAATTGACGTTAAAGATATCATGATAATGAGGTTTGGAGGAGGAAAACACGTTAATATCTCTTATAGGCGCTCTCCTCATTTAGCATTCAATAACATGATTAAATTCTTTAACAGTTCAAGACAATCTCATAAACCTCAGGAAATAATGGCGTTGTTTCTTCCCTCGTAGATAAGGTGATATGGGTAAGGCATCATAATTCAAGCCTGGAAGTGAACAGAAACAAAGGAGAAAAAAAGCAAAGAGTTACGTCAAGGTAAGCTTTGGAATCCAGTTACATGAAATAGGTTTATTATCTGTACATGCGACTGCCATTTATAAAACAAAGGTGTAGTGCAAAGCCGCAATCTATTGTTTTTAAAGTATGGGGCTGAAAATCTTACCATGTCTTTTTAAGACACGCGCAAAACCTTGCTAAAAAAAAAGATGTGGTAAGGAAAACGTTTGCTTGTGTCAACAAGAAAAATGAATATAAACGATATGCAAATAAAACCTTGGAAGACTTATGAGCACAGGGTTATGTCGCCAACAAAGAATGATCGGAATGTACACAAACTTATTTCAATGCTTTGCAAAAATATTTGTATCGCTATAAAGCGTTTCTTTAACTGAAAACTGTGGAATAGCTCTTCTTTTCTTTTCCTAACCAAGGAAGAATATTTGAGTGAAAATGTTTTTCAAAATGAGCCAAAGTTTTTAAGAATATTTGAGAAAGATCAGGGCGCGAGGCATGCAAACCATTCGTCCTTTAATTGTTCCAAAATTTCGAGTATTTATAAGTCGATTTGTCCAGATGTCGTATTTTCAGGCAATTTGGCTACGCAAAAAAACCCTTTTTTTAAGCCTGCCCTGCTTAAAAGAACTTTGTAATTCTAGATATCAATCATATCAGTTGCCATCGACGAGAAAAAGTAAAAAAATGAGGTAACCCACAGACGGTGCAAATTTATTGTGTTATACCGAAAATTGTTCTCACCTCGACTGCAGTTAAAATCAAGGGATATAATCCCACACTTCAATATGCATACATTTCTTTGATATAAGAGGCAATGGGGAAAGCAATAGATCATCTGTAGGACGAACGCTTTGTTTTGGAGTAGCATGGGTTCATATGGAAATCTTTCTCGACTGCATTACATAAAGACAAAAACTGAAATTTCTGACGAAGTGTAGATACATAGCTGTAATATTTGTTCAATTTTAAGAAGTTCTAGAAAACGTAATTTCGTTGCCGGATTTCTGTTGATACACCACTGAGCTCTAAAGATCAGGTCTTAGTCGACCTGAAAAATTCCTTCGGAGGATATTTATGTATTGATCGAAATTATAGAAGATTTAATAAATTACGATCACTGTTACAAAAGGAGGAACCAACACGAAGTTGAGATAAAAATTTGGACGAAATTTTTTTTACGAATACTTCCACTTGTGGTAATTATCAAGCCAAGACAATAAAGTTCAGTATTTACAACGCTTTACCTCTGTGAACAAATTATGTTCACTGCCACAAAAAGAGGAATCAACACGCAGTTGAATTAAAATTTTGGGCGGATATATTTCTTGCTACGAGTACATTCACTTGTAGTGTTTATTAAGCCTTGACAATAAGCTCAATATTTACAACGCCTTACCACTTTCATCACTTTTATTCACTATATTCAATTCAAGTTTAATGTCGTCGAATTTAAGAATTTTTTTCATTATATTTCAGTCCTCTGATATCCTTGTGACACGCCTTGTTGAAGGGGACCACAAGCTTGGAGAGCAAAGACGGGTTCGAACTGAAAAATATGTGAAAGAGGAACGAAGAAAATGTAACTCAGTTGTTGGAGAAACAAAGTTGAAATCAATGTTAGAGGTGACAACTGTAACTTAAACTTACCAACTACGTTGCCCGCAAGACGAATTTAGCCACGAATTAATTGCTTTGAATACAATTTTTTTTGAAAACACAAAACAGAGCTATCAAAGTTAAGTAAATTCTGATTGTCTATTGATGAGTAAAATTTCTGTTTGTTTTTGGCTAATGGAAATAATTTGGCAAGGCAAAAACAATCGAGAGTTCTCTTCCAAATGATCAAAATCTAAGAAAGTTAAATTGCAAGTGAGGACGCTTCTGGTGACTCCAAAAAAGTCACAAGTGAAAACCTCAAGGAATTTTAAATGTTAATTTGAAACAAATAATTGGAAATAATTTGGCAAAACAAAAATTTCTTACAGGCAAATGTTCCAATATAGAATTGTTTGAAATGCAATTAAGACTTTGTAGTTATTGTAATTGTACTTAAGTTACTTTTGCCTTTTGGTTTTGCAAATCTTTTAGTTTCTCTTTAACCCATTTCATACTTTCAACTTTGTCCAGTTCTATTTTCTCGAGTTATACTTAATATTGTTATGATATCGTGTGAACATTTTTATTTATTAGTTAAGAATTGTATTCAAAATAAAAAATAAAAAAAATAAAAACTTCATATCCATTATATTGTCTTTCTCTTTTCTTTTTATTGTCATTTATTACGTATACAAATAATAATAAAAAAGAATTGCGCTTTTAAAAGGGCCTGGTAACAAGTCGAAATATAGGCTATCTCTTTTACTTTTTTTTGCGTATGGAGGGTTGTCGAAAAAAAAAAAACTGCAAATTTGAACAGCATCTTGTGTTAAAACAAAAAATATACTTGACTTTTGATGGGAGAAAATCGTAAGCATGGAGCAAGATTTTTCCCGCCAAAAGACTTAGTATATTTTTGGATCAACACCAGGCACAATTCAAAAGCGCAGACTTTTTTTTGCCACAAACAATTTTCCCGCCGAAAGACTTTTGCAAACACTTTTAGTCTTTCATTCAATCATTCTAAGAAGAGATTTTCCCGCCAAAAGACTCGGTTTTTTCTTTTTATAATTGCGGTTGGCCCTTTCAAAAGCGCAAACTTGTAATGCAGAATTTACTCGCAAACACCAGTCGCCTAGGCACCATTTATTTAAGTCAGACTTCTTGAGTCCTCTAGCATCTTCTATTCTTGGATCTTCTTGCTTCATACGATCTTGCGATCTCTCAAATCTAAAGATATAAGAAAATTTATTTAGAAACAGTACTTTCGACTATATTCAGAACTAAGCTAATCACTGCGCCATCTACTAGAGAGCGTTTCTCCAGCTGTCTAAGCCATGACCATTATGCTACACCAATTTTTCAAATCTCATGTTGCGACGACTCTGACTTAAAGTTAGGGAATCTTGAACACATTTGAAGGAGTAAATTAAAGATACATAAAAGGGAATAATTTCAAAAGTATTTTCCAAAGATCCTGATGTGCAAAACATATTTGCGCGTCGTCAAGTTCGGTTAATCTCATATCCAGACCTTTCACGACCAAGCGGTTCGATCTGGGTACGAGATTAAAGCTCGGATAGACTCGAAGAATGCAAAGATCCTTTGCAGTCGTTAGATAATCATC